GTATTGCAAACTATGGCCACCATGCTGGACGTTATATCCACATGACTTACTTTTTTTATAAATGGAAGTCTGCACCTTCTGACCACATTTCACCCATTTCTCCCATTCCCTATCCCCACTTCTGGCAAGCACCAATCTGTTCTCTGTATCTATGAGCTCAGTTTCGTTTTGTTTTAGGTTCCACATATAAGTGAGATCATACAGTACTTGTCTTTCTGTGGTGACTAACTTCACTTGTTTTGCTCTATCTTTTGAAAGCCAGTGATAATCTGAGTAATGTGATGTAACTGTTTTTGCCAAGGATCCCGTATTAAAATACTTTAAGTGATTCCTAACAAGATTGCCATTAACAAAGTCAGCTGGAATGTTATGAGTTTAAATCTTTTGAATTTCTGATATCATTGAAGAATGTGTATTTTGGGGGCGCCTGGGTGGCTCAGTGGATTAAAGCTTCTGCCTTCAGCTCAGGTCATGATCCCAGAGTCCTGGGATCGAGCCCCGCATCAGGCTTTCTGCTCAGCAGGGAGCCTGCTTCCTCCTCTCTCCTCTCTCTCTGCCTGCCTCTCTGCCTACTTGTGATCTCTGTCTGTCAAATAAATAAATAAAATCTTTAAAAAAAAAAAAAAGAATGTGTATTTTGCATCTAATACCTTTCTCTATAACCCGAAGATGTACAATTCTTTCAGATGTAAAATTCTTTGAGGACAGCCCATAGTGCAGTCAAAACGTTGTCTTTTCAATGCAGGAAATTCTCACTTTGCACAGAGGTGAAGGACTGTGAAAACAACCATTCAAGCTAAAACCAAGCAACAGTCTTAATAATCAATGAGGGAGGAGCGCTTGGGTGGCTCAGTCAGTTAAGCGTCTTCCATAGAGTTCCCATGGGTCAACTCTCTGCTCAGCGGGGAGCCTGCATCCCCCCTCTCCCTCTCCCCTTCCCTCTTCCACTCCCCCTGCTTGTGCTCTCTCTCTCTCTCTCTCTCTGTCAAATAAATAAATAAATAAATAAATACCGTCTTTTAAAAAAAAAAATCAAAGAGGCAAAACTATGATAGTTCTGTCTGAAGGTCTTTAAAACCTTTTTTAAAACATTAAACACTATTAGGGTTGGTTATAAGTGTATAAGGAATTGGAAAAATAGTAAAACTAATATTCGTCTAGTTCGCTGTCTTTGTAGACAGTATGAACATCAAGAATTAAAGTGGGCTTTTTGTAAAAAAAAAAAGTTATCAAGATTATTTTGAACATACTTGCCTTCTTTTCATCATGTAAATCACATTTCAGAGTGAACATCGTTCCTGTACATTGGTGAATTGTCTTTTTAAGCTTAAAGAAGCATCCAGACTTCTATCCTTTGTGCTTTCCATGTCATGAAACATCCCTGAGAGTTCCTTTAATGTGAAGTTTATTACCAGCGTCACTTCCTTTAAGACATCTTCGTCCTTTTCATTACAACCACTTTCCTCATTTACGTCAACAAGCTTGCTGTTAAGTTCCTCCAGCAGCACGTGTACGGTCCTTTGAAGAGTGGCAGGCAGCATCCCCACAGTCAGCTGCCTCTTCTGTAACTCCAGTTATGTTTGTGCAGGTCCTACAATGCTGTCTGCATGGTGTGGTGAAAGTTTCTGCTGTAATGCATACATAGTACTTGCCAGGACTTCCTGCCATGATGCTTGCATATTTTTATTTGTACACTTTACGTCATATTTTTTCCACAACTCAGCTAAAGAAATTATATGATCTCCAGCTGTAGCACTGATAGCCTATTCCAAAGTCTGTGTAAGCTAACAGGCCTTCAGAGTTGAAATAACTCCTTGGTCCATTGGCAGGGTTAATGAAGTTATTTAAGTTTTCACATTTTCGTTTAAATCACCAAGAGAATTAGGGAGACCAAGAGCATTTTCCAACAGTAATAGTGCTATAAATATTAAATTAGTGCACCTATAGTATCTCTCTACTGGTTGACAAGAAGGCAAAACAACCACATGATGTACTATTTGTGGTGTGAACCCAATGACAGATGTTTAGGGACGAATCACTGACAGCCTTAGAAAGAGGGAATGTGATGAATCACATGATGTGCATCCGTTATTTACATAGTGATTTGTGGGCCCAAGAATTAAGAGCAAAGTTTATGTTTTATGCAGTTACTCACAGTTAATATACTGAAGTTTGAGCTTTGGTAATGGGGGAATAATGTTATCTAATGAAACCGTGATGACTGAAATGCGTTCACATCAGAACTATGCAAAGTAAGGGCTGCTTAACTGGGACTCAAAACTAACCTCAAAACATGTTTTTATTTTTAAAAATGTTTTTATAAAAGAAAGGAAAAATGAGAAAACTTCCTTACATTTTTGAACTAAGTCTTTGACTTCTACCTCTGAACATGCATTTGAAATTTTTCTTTTTAAACGTCTCCAGTAGTTTTATGACCATTTGCTGAGTACATAATCTTAAACCACCAACAAATGGTTTATTCAATCCTACCAAATGTATTAGGTGCATTATGTATGTGAAGCATTGGGCTAGACTTTTTTTCTAAGAAATAAACTATTACTGGGTTTCGCACATACATTGATTTCTGCCCACACACACACACACACACACACACAGCCATACATACCTGGCACCCAGCAATATACTCATCCCTGCGTATGGGGGCCTCAAAGGATTTAGAAATGAATTTATCAGGGTTCACTAATACAAAGAGAAAATATTTCCTGAGCATGTATTTTATGACGGGTCTTGTACTAAATTCTTAAACAGTATTTCATAAAATACTCAGAGCAACTACATGAGGCAGGAATTATTAGTATCATCTTTGCAAATGTGAAGAAACTAAGACTCAGAGAAAAAGCTACATGCCTTGTCTATGTAAAAGGACAATTGTTCACTAAAGCAGTATTTGCTTATGAGATACTATTCAAAGCTGAATGCCATGTTTCACTGCAACTGGTTCTAACCAGCTGAAGATGGTAAAAACCAGGAACCACGAGTTACCTTAGTCAGGGTCAGACTTGACATACCAAATTATTCCTTCCTGACCCGTGGTTCATAGGACTTGATTTACTTAACTGTACACAGACTTGTGAACTCATTCACCCAATCCATAATGCAAATGTTTAATCTTTAATGGGCGTATTCCACTGTGATTACCCTCCTTTTGGCACTGACTTTTCCCCATCAGAGCACTACTCAGTGAATTTCTTCCCCAGTATGTTCCTTTGCCTGGCAGGTAAATAAAAATCAGCTTCAGTTTTTGAGCTGTGGTCATTGTTTTATTGTTTGATACCCAAGATAACCCACTTAGTAAGTGACTGAGCTGGGGCACAAATCCGTTCCGACTGACTTAAAACCCATATGCTTAATTTCTATGTTTACTCATTAATTAAATGATGGAATAAATTGCATTCCAGCCAGCTAGTTCCAAGATGTAAAAAAAGGAAGCTGATTCTACAGCTCTAACTCTTACGAACTCTAATTCATTCTTCCCTTTACAACAGCGAGATCCTCACACTTCCTGTTACAGTAATAATGATAATATGAATGGTAATAACAGTGTGATAATATTAACAACAATATAAATGACAACTTAACTACAGATAGTGCTCCCTCAGTGACGGGCCGTCTTTCTTTCCCAGCTATCTCAAACCAGATATTGAAATGTCTTGTTTCTTGGTGATAACATGAATGTGCATTTATAAAATTTCTGTTTGTAGATGTGGGTTAAAATTGGCCATATGTGGAGTAGTAGGGATTGTGACCAGCTAAAGAACTGTGTTGATGTGAAGGCAGCAGCCATTACTCTGTTTCTGTTGCTTGTCATGGAAGAATACCAGACTGGTAATACCAGATTTCCCTCTTTCAAGAGGCACCAAACATCTGGGTCATTATGTAGAGTTTACCACTTTTTAAAATATTATGTAGGGATGCCTGGGTGGTTTAGATGGTTAAGCATCTGACCCTTGGTTTCTGCTCAGGTCATGATCTCGGGATCATAATATTGTGCACCGCATCGGGCTCTGCACTCAGTGGAGAGTCTGCTTGAGATTCTCTCCATCTGCTCCTCTATGTAAATCAAACTAAACATATCTGCTGGCTGAAATGAGCCCTATCCATAGCCTCTGCTACAGACGCACTGGCTAAGAGGCAAGAAAATACAGTGGAGGCACACTGTGTGCATTTTGGGTCCGAGCTTTCCTACTTTGTGTGCCTTTGGGCAAGTTATTTAGCCTCAGTAGGCTTCAATTTCCTTATCTGCAAAAATGGGTTTAAAAATAGTGACTATCTTGAGTGCCTGGGTGGCTCAGTTGGTTAAGCAACTGACTTCAGCTCAGGTCATGATCCTGAAGTCCCAGGATGGAGTCCCATATCGAGCTTCCTGCTCGGCAGGGAGTCTACTTCTCCCGCTGACTTCTCTCATGTTCTCTCTCTCATTCTCTCAAATAAATAAATAAATAAATAAATAAATAAATAAATAATTTTTTAAAAAGAGCGACTATGTCATAGAGTTGTTATAAGATAAATATTATTTTTATCTTTAAAATGCTTAGTAAAATACCTAAAATTTAACCAATGATTTGTTGTTAATATTTTGCCCCCTTTATCCTCCCTTTTGTGGACCTGATCTCTACAAACTTCTGCTATTCCAGTTATATGCATCCATTCCAAGGACACGCATTATGAACATTAGGCTATAACTGACACTTCCGTTGTATTAACACAAACAAACAAAACCTTGAATCATTTTCAGTGGCTCAGTTAAATGGCAGGGGAATTTAGAAAGGGAAAAAATAAGCCAAATTTATTCTACTAAATTGAACCACTCATTAAATGGTATTGAACCACTTGGCTAAACGGATAAAATAATTTATATAATACTATTGTCACTAAATGAATAAGGTTTTTTTGTTCAGTGAACTTGGATATGTGTCTTTTCAAAGCTCTTTCACCATTTCACCTTTTAATATATCTAACTAATGTATTTAACTTTTCAGTTTATCTTTGTTGGAAGAATTTGACTGTAGCTGTAATGAACTGGAGTCTTTACCTTCTACTATTGGCTACCTTCATAGTCTTCGAACGTTAGCAGTCGATGAGAATTTCCTTCCAGAATTACCCCGAGAAGTGAGGAATAAACTTGTTTCTGTTAATTAACTTTTAATGAATATGTTTTGGGATTAAGACTTAATAAGTGCAATGTAGATTCATGAGTTGAGCTGTCAATGTGTATAGGAATTATCTACATATGTATGTGTTAATTGTTTTTTTAAATGATAAGTGCTAAGTTCTTATATTTGACCCAGAAAACCCATTTGACTTAAACATTACTAGCAAAGAAAAGTAATAAAATATTGTAAGTTAATCAATGCTAAGGAATACAATTTTAAATAATTTAATTTAAATGTTTCACTTTTAAGAACAGTAATAAGACATTCTGAGATAATTACATTTCCATTTCTGAAGTGAAAGACTTTTAATGTAAAACTTTACTTTTAATGTAAATAACTTTTTTAAACTATCATGTGGCATGATAATATTATTTTTATTTTAGAATTCACCAAAAGATTCTGTTAGTTTTTATTTCTAAGTGGGATTTTTATTTATTAATATCAAGAAAAAATGCAAAGTATATTTTCAATTTAATATTTTCTACTAACCACTTCCATAAAGAAGGAACAGTAGTCAATATGTCATTATTTTAGAGCAAAAAGTTATAAATAACCATGACATGACATACATTACAATGTATCATTGTAACACAAAATAAAACTAACTTGGCCATGGAAATGTCAACAATATTTCATCTTTTGTGAATGAGTGATCTATTAGAAACATAGATATATTCATATTCACTTGGTTGTACTGTAAAAATAATGTTATTAATGAAAACAATGAAGCTAATGAGCATTCTAACAATAAAATTATAAAGAACATTCTTCCTTCCTAATATGCAAAAGAAGATGAGATACATAGTGTCTTAACATCTAAAGGGATATATATAACATATACATATATTTTAAAGATTGATTATAAAATATAAAGCAGTAGACATATTAAAAGAGTCTTAAAAGTAATAAGGAAATCTGTAAATTATTTTAATATTAAAAATTGATACAAAAATAGTTTACTGTGTATTTCCTTATTTACTTTCTTTTGTTACCCACAGATTGGAAGCTGTAAGAATGTAACAGTTATGTCTCTACGTTCCAATAAACTGGAATTTCTTCCTGAAGAGATTGGACAGATGCAGAAGCTAAGAGTCTTAAATTTGAGTGACAACAGGTATTTCTGCAACATTTCAAAATGACATTAGTTATTTACTGAAAGTAAATCATTGTTCATTATTAATGATTTTAGAAACATTTTCTGTGTCTTACGAAGTATATAGGATGCAAATCAATGTTTTATTCAGAAAATGGCAGAAACCAAATTATTTACAAACTGATATTTCTAAATTTTATTTTTTGAGTAAATTCAGATCATGTATTATGTTGTATGTTTAAATTATATAAAACCTATACACCAAATTTATATACCAAAACCCTCCTATATGAAGAAAGCATATTATGAAGACCTGAAAAAGTTGTAATAAAAAGCTATAAATCATATTAATTAAAATCATGTATGTAGGTATGAATGCATGTATGCGCATATGTGTGTGTGTGTGTGTGTGTGTGTGTGTGTTTTCATGTACACATTTATGTCTCCAGTAAATTAACGGGGCAATGAGTATATTGTCAGCACCACCAGAATGCCAGTAAGAATATTGCCAATTAGGTAATACTCAAAAGTCATAAAATTTGTACATAATTTTAAGGTCAACCAAATGGTTATTTAGTTATGTTCAGAGTAGGGCAAAAAAAAATCCCCAAAAGATAGGTGCCCTTCTTGTGACAAAGGTGTTATAGTGGTGGAGAGGCATAAAAGAAAGAGCAAAACTGAATTCATCTTTGTTTCCACAATTGTTCTCAAATAGGGAAGGAAAAAAAGTTAATATTGATTGAAGATAACTGCTAAGTAGACAAAGTGATTCTACAGAATAGAATGTATGAACTCGGTTTTCAGTAAGTTTCAGTCAGACAAATGATAGAACGAGAAACTGAGAGCCTGCAATAAAACAGTCAAAGATAACTTTTATGGAATCATTAAGAATATTCAAATCTATAAGTTTCAAGATAAGTGCATGAGTTCTCATTTGTTTGTTTAAGACAAATATTAATAATAATGTGATTTTCAAAGACTATTCACTTAGTAATTCAATAATATTCCCATGTGAGGGAATAAAACATTTTATTGAAAGGTTTGGGTTTTCATTTTTAAAATCAAGATGACAAGGAAGCTTCATAGCTTGGTAAAACAAGAGTAAGTCATATCAAACCAACAGTTATCTCCTGTTTTGACTGGATTACCAGACGGGAAAATGAGGGAAATGCATTGAATGTTGCTGACTTTCAGCAAAACATTTTTAAAATGTGCTAACTGATATTCTTGTGAATAAAATTAGGAAATATGGTCATGGAGAAGTCATAAGAAGAGATGGATTCTCAGTAGATTCCATTACAATAACCAACAGGACTGAGCTCCATTACTGTTAACCTGGAGGGAGGTTTTCATGATGAGTTACAGAAGTCTCTTAAATTCTTAGTCCACTCAACTTTTATTTGTTAATAATCTGCATGATGATATAGAAAATATGCTTATCAAATATTTAAAATGACCCAAAATTAGAAGTACTACAAGTGAAGTTATTTTTTATTCCTTTTACTCAAGTACAATTAACATATAGTGTTACATTAGATCAGGTATACAATATATTGATTTAATAATTCCATACACTACTTGGTGCTCATCACTATAAGTGTACTCTTAATCTCCTTTATGTATTTCACCCATCCCCTCACCTGCCTCTCCTCTGGCAGCCACAAGGTTGGTCTCTGTATGTAAAGGTCTTTTTTTTTAATGTTTCTTTTTTCCTTTGCTTGCTTTGTTTCTAAAATTCCACACATGTGTGGAATGATATGGTATTTATCTTTATTTGTCTAACTTATTTCACTTAACATTATACGCTCTAGGTCCATCCTTGTGGGACCTGGCAAACATCAAGAGCTCATTTTTTTTTGTAGCTGAGTAATATTCCAGCATATGTACACATTTTCTTTATTATAATCATATTTATCCATTAATCTATGGATAGACCCTTGGGTTGTTTCCATATATCTTGGTATTATAAATAAAGCTACAATAAACGTAGAGGTACATATATCTTTTTAATTAGAGTTTTAATTTTCTTTGAGTAGATACCCAGTAGTAGAATTACTGGATCATATGGCATATCTATTTTTAATTTTTTTTAAAGATTTTATTTATTTATTTGACAGAGATCACAAGTAGGCAGAGAGGCAGACAGAGAGAGGAGGAAGCAGGCTCCGCTCTGAGCAGAGAGCCCAATGCCCGGGGCTTGATCCCAGGACCCTGGGATCATGCCCTGAGCTGAAGGCAGAGGCTTTAACCCACTGAGCCACCCAGGCACCCCTATTTTTAATTTTTTAAGGAAACCTCATACCATTTTCCACAGCAGCTGCACCAGTTTGCATTCCCACCAACAGTGCAGCAGGGTTGCTTTTTCTTTACATCCTTACCAACACTGGTTATTTCTTGCCTTTTTGATTCTAGCCATTCTGACAGGTATAAGGTAATATCTCATTGTAGTTTTGATGCGCAGCCCTGATGATGAATGATATTGAGCATCTTTTCATATGTCTGTTGGCATTTTGTATGCCTTCTTTGTTAAAAAAAAAATGACTATTCAGGTTCTCTGCCCATTTTTTAATTGGCCTATTTGGTTTTTTGGTGTTGAGTTGTATAAATTCTTTATATATTTTGGATATTAACCCCTTTACCAGGTATATCATTTACAAATATTTTCTTCCATTCAGCAGGTTGCTTTTTTGTTTTGTTGATGGTTTCCTTCACTGTGCAAAAGTTTTTTATTTTGGTGTAGTCCCAATAGTTTAATTTTGTTTTTGTTTCCCTTGCCTGAGGAAACTATTTAGAACAATGTTTCTACGGCTGACGTCAAGGAAATTACTGTCTGTTTTCTTCTAGGAGGTTTATGGTTTCAGGCCTCACATTTAAGTCTTTGATCCATTTTGAGTTCATTTTGGGGTATGGTGTAAGAAAATAGAAGGGCTACTAATGAAGTTATTTATTCAAGAAATAAAAGATATTTCAGTAACTACCATGGGACAGACATGTTGCTAGATGCTAGGGTAAAAGATATGAGTAAGACATTGAGAATCCCACAATATCAGGAACTTAAAATATTTTGTCAGGCCAGTTATATTAGCTAATTTTTTTTCCTAGTACAGTGACTGGAACATAGTGTAGAGCCAAATTAATATTTTAAGTTAATGAATTAATCCATGAATCTTAGCCTTGAGTTAAAAATCAATATTTAGCCGAAGCTGAGGCCAAAATTGAACACTACTATTAGAGAAAGAACTGCCTAAATAAAAGATTAAATATGAAATGCTATCCAAATGTCTTGACTATCACAATTTCATACTTAGAATAGAATAGATTTTAAAAGTTTGTATAGTTTAAGAACAATTATGCCTTAGCACTGTCGACTGCAAGATTGTTCCTATGGTCGATTTATTGCACATTTGTGATATTAAACAGAGGCTTATGTTCAATGCAGGTTACTGGAAGTGCAAGGAGAAATGAGTATAACTCATCCTTCTCTAATATGAAATGAGTATAACTCATCCTTCTCTAATCTTTTCTTTATGCTCTATGTTTATAACTCAATTGATGATGATTTATCTTACATGTTATTGCTTATGATTCTGTAGAGGTCCCCCTCATGTAATTTTGATGTGGTGGAATTTATATTCTGCCTATAATTCATCTCCATACAATGTGAAAAATTCTTCCTGTAAGACCTTACTTCATAATTCCTGGCTTAAATGAAATTAAATAACTAAAAACTATAAACGGTTTTTTTGTAATTTGCTTTCATGCTACAAATACTAATATAACAAATTATTCTATAAAAAGATAATTATGATATGTTAGTTTAGTTACTCTTTATATTCTTATAAATATTTATGAGATCAGAGAGGTTATTATGTTTTTCCCAAAGTTTTCTGGCTAATACACACTGTTGATATTCATATTGGCTGTCAATATCTTTTCATATTTATTAAATTATTTAAAAATGTTTAGCAGCTTTTACATATCAAGTTACTTCCCTAATCCTATTAATTATTATAACATTTTTCATTTCCGTTATCAAAATATATGTACTCATCAGTTGGCTGAAAGAGTTCCAACATATTAAAGATTTAAGAAAATTTTTATTCCAAGTTCTCTCTAAAGTGTGTATCTATATTCAAAAGTGAACATGCAGAAATTAACAATAAGTCCATCAGCATGCTTTGGTTGTATTAGCACTTTGCTGAGTAGCTATTATGGTAACCTGTGTAATCACAATTCATTCATCATGCACACTTTCAGGGATATCAGATAGTATGTGAAAGTAGGCATTCGCCAATTTGGTCCTCCAAAGGCTGAAGCCAAAACTAGATCATTTCAATTGAATACCAAAGCTTATGCCAAACTTCAGGTACCTCAAAATGCATTTTTTAAGATTTCCTCTTGGAATATTTACTACACAATACACAAAGGGTGAGAGAACAAAAGGACACAATTTCGGGAGTCAAGATAACATTGGGAGCTGTAGATACCTTTAGTAGTGTGACAGGCATGACCCCTTCCCATCATGGAGGCAACAATTTTGTGGGGCTATCAGCCAGTAAAAAAGATAACCACAAAAATAAATTTATAATTACAAACTATGGTATGTTCCATTAAAGAAAATATAAGGTGCTTTGAGACTACATTGGGGAAAGTAATTTAAATGAAGAGTCAGGAAAAGCCTCTTTGAGAAAATTACATTTAAGCTGAGAGCTAAAGGATATGTGTGATTTAGTTTAGTGAACTTGGGGAGAAAGAGTATTCCAGACAGACAGAAGTTCGGCTAATCTTCATAGTGGGCTGATAGAATGCCCATCAGTGGCACTGGGAAGACTAAGTCAGGAAAAGTCGCAGAAGTTTCTGAAGAGGCCTGAGGGGTCAGATCTTACAAGGTTTGACAAGGCATGTCAACAATTTTGGATTTTATCCTAGATATGATAGGAAGCGTTTAAAAGGTTGTAAGCAGGAAATTTTCACTTTTTAAAGATTGTTCAGAAGAATGAAATGAATAAGTTACATTATTTTAAAAAAAATTCTTCATAAAAATGAACTATATCCACCTTCACCAATGCTATTAGAATTTTCTTGTTTTTGCAGATTGAAGAATTTACCATTCTCATTTACCAAACTGAAAGAGCTTGCAGCTTTGTGGCTTTCTGACAATCAGGTAAAAAATTTTATTACCTGAGTTATTTTATTTATTAAGATAAATTATAATTGAAACTTTGACTTACTAACTTATTCCCAATAGATACCCTTGACAATTACTACAAAATATAGATTATCTTCTAGAAGAGAGATTTTTGTAATGATAGCAATTGAAGTATGTATTTCGTTGCTACAGAAAATTCAGTACTATAATCTCCACCCTCTTTAAATACTTTGATTTAGCATCTATTTCATTCTGAGAGATCTATTACACAAAATGATCATTTTCATACATTGTTATTTTTGATAGTACATATGTGTCCTGAGGAGACATTCTTTAATTATATCTCTGAAGGTAAAGAATAAGAAATCATTAACGCAGTCCCCACAGAGGGAATTATTATCCTGCATGTTCCTTTTTTTTTTGCTTTTAATTATAATCAACTTAATTCTAAAACTTTATACAAGAAGTTTTCAGATAGTTTTTGCAAATATTATGAGTACTTTCTGTAAAATTGATTTTATATTATTTTTATACTCAGGAAAGTAGATTATAATTGAATCCATAATTGAGTGTTAATGAATGATTTTAATAAGGAAAATAACAACTAACAGTTGAAGATATCTGATTTGCCACCAGAAAAAAAACTGGTAATAGAAAATTTTGACATAGTTTATTGGTCTTTTTTACTTTTTTCTTATAATCCTAAATTTTGAAACAGCTATCCCCAAATATGAATGACCAAATAAAAACAAATCATCATGAATTTAGTTTCTTATCATTATTTCCTGAGGATAAAAGCAGCATTATTGGTAAATGAATTGTTCAGACTTCTAGGTGTTGGGCTTTTTTGTGAAAAAATAAAATAAATCTCTACAAAATGTAAGCACTAGAATGTTTGTGTTCCTATAGTCATTATAGCACTTGCTTCCATCTGCTCAGTAAAAACATTAGATTGTCATTCAAATTCAAATCTTATCAATGAACTATAGATTTTTCAAGGCATTAATGTATCATTATAAATAAATCATTTCTGGATTCAATGTGAGCTATGCTAATAGAACAGTCAATGCTAGAGTCCTGCATTGTGAAAAAATATCCACTAATATCATGATTTATTATTCTTGTGAGAGAATGAACTGAACAGTGACTGCATCATTTAACTTTTATTTAGAACAATGATTTAATGTGTTTCTGACTCCATTTCATGAGGCAAATTGGCATCCCAAATCCCCTTTGTGCTTCACTCCTATTGATAAATGTCATGAAATAAGTGGATTTTTTGAACATTAGATATCCCCATTTCCAGTATATTTATATATGTAGTATATTAATATGTATAGTGTATAATATCAGAGTTCTAAAACACCCTTCAGATAGTATTTCTAAAATCAAATTAATAATAAAGAATGGAATCTTACTATCCATAAGAAATATATTGTTGATATAGTAGATACAAAACTACAGGTGTTTATTTTTACACAGACTCTGGCTTTAGTTACAAAAATCTCTCTTAAAAAATGCTTATGTTTTAACCTAATTAAACTCATAGATGATTTTACAATAGCATCAATTTGATAGCAATTTCCTTTTATCTTTTTAGGGCAACAGCTTGTAAAAATGAACGAGCGTATAGAACCACGCCAAAAGCTTACTTAGTTGAACAAATGTAATACATCTGGGTCTCTTTAAGATTAAAAGTGACATTACCAGTGAAGATGAATAGGTTTTGTAAAAGAGTATACTATAGAAAAAGAAACTCTCAATATGAAGACCTTAAAATTTGAGATATTCCTCAGCAATAGTCTTATTTTATGAAATCCTTTCTTATTTCATTACTTTTTTCCTTGCCTTTCTTTTAATTGTTCATTCAGCTCACTGAGGCCAGACCATTGACCATTATCTTCTATAAAAGTAGTATTCTTCATATTTGCTATTTTATTAATCTAATTTATGTGTTCTTTGCTTCTAGTCCAAAGCCCTTATCCCTTTACAAACTGAAGCCCATCCAGAAACAAAGCAAAGAGTATTGACTAACTACATGTTTCCCCAGCAACCTCGTGGTGATGAAGGTAAATTGTCAGGAAAAATTTCTTTTATGCTTTCACAATTATGGATTAAAGGAATTAGTTTTATTCTGATCTTCGGCCAGGAATCCTGGCCCATGAGCAAGGCTATAAAAATAATTACATCGCACATATAAATCATCCAGGGGTTAACCCTAAGCATGAATCTTATCTTCCATAATTGGCAAGGAAGAAGTCAAACTTTCACTATTTGTAGATGACACGATACCTATATAGAAAACTTGAAAGACTCCACCAAAAACTACTAGAAATGATAAAGAATTCACTAAAGTTGCACAATACAAAATCAACATCAACTATATTATTTTAAATAAGATTCCAAAAATGTAACTCTCCCTCTTCATATCTTACATGAAAATGTTGATTTCTAGGAACAACTTCCCTTGGTGGGTTGCAAGACTAGGTCATTAGAGTATCCAGCTAACTGAAATGAGCTAAGAAGAGTCAGACCTTAAGGAAGGTTCAACAAACCGTTTTATTTTCTGTGTTCACCAATTTCGCGAACACAATTTAAACATTTTGTCCAGTGATTGCAGGCCCCAAATCATTTCACGTTAACAGTCAACCATAAAAAGATGACTTGAAAATAATGACCATTCTTTCTCTTTCAAGTTGAATTTCTCTAAGTGATATCAGTAGCTCTGATAGGAATACTTATTGCAAATCTAAACCTTTTTTTGAATTAATCTTCTATACTTTCTGATGACAAATTTCACAAAATTTTTAAAGGAAGTTTGTCCTTTACCATTTACAACTCCAAATAGGCTCCTTAGCCCAAGCCAGAACAGGCAGCCACACGTGTTTTCTACAGTCTTACAGTAATGGTAATTCTTAGAAGAGTAGACCCACTTTAATACACCCATGGATTAAATCCACCCAATCCACTTGAATGAGAGCAACTTTTTTTTTCATTTTATTTTATTTATTTCTTTTCAGTGTCCAGAATTCATTGTTTATGGATCTATTTTCAGGGATAATTATGATAAACATCTTTAGTCTTTGACTTGTAAATATAAGTGAACATTTTGGGATACTTTAGAATATTTTATTCAAATTTTGACTTACAAAAGTAGGAAAGGGATAGATTGTTTTCATATTTTTTTCAGTCTTCAGTAAAACTGAGCTTTTAAATTTATACAAGAGAAGTCACCATGTCTACTTATGCTATAAGAAAAACCTTAAGTAAGGATTGTTTTTATTCATGTAACTTTACTTATATTTTCATATTAGTATCCTTAGATTACGGAAGTTTTTTTTTTTTTTAATGTAGGGAAAAGTGGAAAGAGTCTCAGATTTCCTGGTAATTTCTGAGATACAGTCTCATAGATTAAATTCCTCATTTATTGCAGGGAGTGAGGTAGATCTAGTCAGGCAAGGCATGATGTTAAGGAATTAGCCTGATTTATGTTCTGTTCTGTTTTCCTCTGAGAAAAGAAGAGTGGTAATAGAAAAATTTCTTGAACTTTAAGTAAGTTACCCTTTGGCTTTTCAGACAGAAGTATAATAAATGAATTTTCAGAATCCCTTGCAACAAAAAAAGGAAATACATGATAAAGTTCATCTTTTGGGAAAGAATTTAGGCTAAACTAAGTACTTGTATTGCATTTTCATGTGATCTTCACAATTAATGTTGGTAAGGAAGATATTACTATCAGCCTATATTTTGATATAAATTAAAGATTTATAAGCCACTTATTTTCCTTGTTGAGACATATTTAGACTCGTTTTGAGACTGTAATTTTAATGTTACCCTACAAACAAGCTCCCCTCCATTATCCCCACAACCACATACACACACCAAAAAGAAAAGCTTGCAATCACACACATTTTACTGAAAAGCCAATGTTATGTAGTATCTTTTATAAAATCCTGATAGAGGTTAGTGGCTTCAAATATGGGTAAAGGCTCTGTAATCACACAGACATGGAACAGAATCCTGCACTGACCCAGAGAAGCTGTACAACTTTGAGCAAATCTCTTAAACTTAGCAAGAGTTTTCTCGTTAACAAACTGAGGATATATTAGTACTACCACTGGTGTGCTAGTGTGAAGATTAAAAAATAATGTTTTTAAAATGTATATTCCAACTCTCTTTTTATTATTATTATTATTATTATCCTTTGGAGAACCCGTTTTCCACACTAGAAAACTTCCCAATCCCAGTATATAATTTATATGTACTTAGGAAAGCTGAATTTGAATTAAGATGTAAGAAAACACGTAACAAATATCAAGGGAATTTTATTCCCTCTCTTCTCTTTCTTTCCTTCTTCTTCCCTTTATTTCCTTCTTTCTTTCTCTTTATTTTCCCCCTTTTTAAAATTTTTGTACTTGTTTGTAGTACCTATTGCCATTTTTTGCATAGTGTACTAAGCTCTATTAATAACACTTCATGTAAAAAAAAGCAGTAATACTTTGGAATCTAACTATAGATTTCCAGTCAGACAGTGACAGCTTTAACCCTACACTGTGGGAAGAGCAGAGACAACAACGCATGACTGTTGCCTTTGAATTTGAAGAAAAAAAGGAAGATGACGAAAATGCTGGGAAAGTTAAGGTGAAACTTTTCATTTTGTTTCTTCTTTCCTCTCATTATTTTTGTTTGTCCATTGTTATTATTAAAATAGACTTTGGGACAAATTGAGTGACCTCTGCTTAAAGGTCAGATACATATTTGTGTCTCCTTCATTAGAGCATGATGGTAATTTGAAAAGCATTGTGTCCTTCAGAATGTCCCAATTCTGACTGAGCAAATTTGATATACCACCCCATCTTACAGAGTGACAACATGAAAGAGATTCAAGGTGAGAGAAAACCAAAACAAATGAATCTGGGTGATAGGCTTTACCTACGAACCTTATTACATTTTTGAAACACTGAAATTGTTTTCTTTTAATCACTAAGCAAGGCACCAGGCAGACCATATGAGACCAAAATATACATTTATGGAAGAGCCAGTGGATTAATATGTTATATTGGCTTTAAATATCCAAAAGATTTTTGGTCTCTGGGGTATCTGAGAAGAATTTATGAGTTTTCTTAATGAGAAAACAAGTTTTAAAGGAGACAAGTGCCTAATAGCAGGTGATATTCAATTTTTTCACCTCAAACATCTTTTTAAAAATCCTTTATTGGAAGTAATCTAAGTCAAGTAACAAAGTGGAACTTTAAAATCCATATTTTTTCATTATTTAAACTTGATATTTAAAGAGATTTTATCATCAGATCATCATATTGTCATCATGGCAACATCTTGAATCTCTAATCTTTTATAGCAATATTTGTGTACCTTTTCTATCATGAATACTAACAGCTCTCATTCTGAGTGACTAAGTAAATGTATGTGCATCCTATTAACAGACCTAGATTGTGTAATGTGTTTTTTCTGTCCCCTCATTCCCACATTTTCTAAACTTTTTTCTTAAACCAACACACCCTGGAACCTTACTAGATTTAAACAGTAAGGTAATTGACAAGGCTTACCTCTACATCATTGTGGAAAATCCAAAATGGATTCCCAAATCAAAATGATAGTTTTGTTAATGATTTGGGTTTTAAAAAAATGTTTCTGGATGCTTGGTTAATGCTATCTAATAACCAAAGAAACATTTTTTAATTTGTGAATTTCTAGAAATAGCATTGCCAAACTGAAAATAAACAATAAGACCCTTACAGCATTTCAGTTCCACTTTTAAGATTTCATACGTTAAATCTAGAACCAATGGATGATGCATTCTATACTGGACCTCTGATTCATTCTTTTACCTCACTGAATGTCAAAAACTACATGCTTATTCCTAAAAATCCATATTCAAAGGCTCTAACAAGAAAATAGTACTCTTATATACTTATATACTCTGGTATATGTGTCAATGAAAACATAAAATGCAAACAGTTTATTTAGAAGCCCTGTTTGTGTGTTATGTGGTCAGGTTTGTTTATAATCAGAGTAGGCTCATTATACTTTAGATTGAATTTTCTTTGTGCTTATTTATATTTGATTTATTTATATTTTGGTGAAACAATATTTGTTTCGAAAATCTCAAACACTTGGTTTTGACTAATTTGAATATTTCCAATGCCATTGGCTATTGGACAAATTAGAACACAAACAAACTTCTAAATAAATCATCATGGAAGCATGATGAATGGAATATACAGAAATCTTACACCAAATCAATCACACTTTTCCGGTTCATTACATATACATTAAATTTAGCACCATTTTACCTTTCATTTATATAAAATTAAGAAAGGAACCACTGACCTATGCCATCAGCTTCCAAACGGACTAGAGTATAATGCCCTACTTATAGAGCATATAGTGTAGTGTGAATGCTGCATTGTGTAAAAAATTGTGACCCATTAGCTTCATATGATATTGGTACTGTTTTATTACAGAGAGTTCGAACTAATTTTTTGATGGTTGTTTTAAATGCATTACCCAGAGTGAAAAAAAAATCAAGAGTAGAAAAATGATAAAGTGAAAGTATTGCTACAGTGCTCCTCTTTCTCCCAGAAAATGGAGATTCCTTCTCCCACAGGATCACCCCTGCCAAGCCCCCTGGGAAAGGGGCCAGCGTGGGATTACTCTCCAACCTGCCAGACTGTCTGGCGATTGCTGCACACCATGGGCCAGGTGTGATCAGCAGATCCAAGATATGCCCGTCCCCCAGAATGACCCACAGCTGGCATGGGGTTGTATAAGTGGCCTCCAGCAGGAAAGGAGCATGTGTACTCCATTGCCAGTTGCAGCACAATCCACCACTCTTCCCTCTCTAAGTGGCAGACAGGTAGGCCTAGGTGTTTGGGGTAGGAGAATCCCCCATGTAGAGGCAACCTTGGAACAGTGGTTTTATGGGGTATGTTCTGCATGATTTGGGGTAAGAAATGTTGATCCTATAGGAACCATCCAATTGCCAATGTTTGACCTCAATTTAAGTTTTTGTTCGTTGACATTGGCAATGGGTGGGAAGACCAAGTCAGAGGGGAGGGAACATCAATAATGAGGTGCCTAATGGTGGGATATGGCATGATTTTTTATTTGGGTTCTTCATTTTTATTTATGTTTTTATTTTTAAAGATTTTTTTTCTTTAAAGTGTGGGAATACCAATAGTTGGGCAGAATGTTGATGACACTATTGATAAAATCTAAATTGCCCCCACACATACACACATTTTTGTATTATCAATTCAGAGGGAGATTAAGTAACTAAAACCTGATTCTTAAAATAGCATGAGATTTGAATTGAGATTTGCTTAGAGTGGACTTTGAGCACAAAGATGGACATCTGTTGAAAAGCATCAATTTCCCTCTAATTTGAAGGCACAGATGATGACAATTCCTGTAAGAGAAGATTGGTTTGGGAGTTGTGGCAAATAGGGCTTCCTTATCTCAGTGGGTTGGGTGTTTAAAAGTTCAATGAAAAAAAAAAATGTCTTCATGGGATGTGAAAGGACACTACATTTTTGGTAAGCTTTACCATCCACATGCAATGGACTAGATTCTTACTCTGTGTCTTATATTATTTCTGCAATATAAGGCCAGCTGAGAATCCTAACTAAAACTCCTATAGGCTTCCTTTCTATGTAAAATGTTCTGATTAATTCCCAAAATAAGATCCCTAATGATCAGTAATCAAAGCATTAACTATTACTTCTCTTACTGGAATTTATAATCAAACCAAATAAGAATTTCATCATTATATAAGAAAAACACAGTTCTTTGAGAATTCAAGATACCATCTCTAAATGCCCTAGCTATGAACACAAATTCTTTCTTCTATTGCTAACCTTTGGGGGAGTCTCCAACATCTTGCAGCTGCTATTTGCATTTACTGCACTTTTTTTTTTTAATCTGAGATATATAGAATGTTGCAAAACATTTCTATTTTTCTAAAGTTAAAATGAAGTAACATTGCAGTGAAAATCTTGCATTTTAATAAAATGTATATGTAAAATGAACAAATACTTTATGGTGAGTGATATATGCAACATTTTCATGAGAACAATTGACAGTTTTTTCCCACCTATTTATACCATAAATGAATTTACATTATTTCTCCATCCCATATTAGAATGAGGGAATATTTCTAGCCTATGTATTTAGAAATATAAAGAAACTATTTTTATTTGGGCATGACTGAAGTATTAATAATATTGTATTATGATCATGTTTTTGTATTTCTGAAGCATTGCATAAGAGTTAAAAAGTAGGAAGGCATAGGCAAAACAATCTGTAAAAGGGTATAAAATATGCTTTTATAGAGCTTACAAACATAACAATTATAAAATATTATAGTTTCTTTTAAGAAGAAATTATAAAATAACTGCTTAAAAATTTGAAATTATCTTATTTAACTCAATAAAATTTATATTTTAGACGTACACACACTCTTTTCTACAAGATTGTACAAATATGAGCTTTACTTATATCAGAGAATAGCCTTGAGCCAAGTAAAACGACATAAGCTTTGGAGTCAAAGACCTGAGTTGTATGACTTTGGGCAAGGAACTTACAGTGCCTGAGCCCTATTCAGTGCCTGAGCCCATATTTTCCCAGGGGAAAAGGAACAGCTGCTACAATGGGTCATAAAATTTAAACTATATTTAATTATAATTAATTATAAATATTTAATGAATGTTAATAATTATAATTATTTATAGTGTATTTATATTCAAATCTATGGTAAACAATAAATAATAAAATAAGAATTATTTATTATATAAATAACTATTAATAATTGAAATATCTTTATAAAACATTTTGCATGTGCCTGGCAGATGGCAGATACTGAATAAATGATAGTTGTTGCTATATGCAATCTGGAAAAAGTCCAAACTGTTACAGGTAGTATGGAGTTTTATATGTGTGTGTGTGTGTATATATATATATATATATATATATATGTATATATGTTTATATATACATATATATGTTATATATAGTAAAATTTAAACTGCCAAGAAAATTCAGATTTTAAAAATACCTAAGTAGAATCTGACTTTAGAAAATAGTATCTAATCTCTGTATAGAATTTATACATTTCCAAAAGATTTTCATAGTTATTATCTCATTTTAGTTCTAGATTAACTAAAGATATTATCATTCCCATTTTACACGAACAGAAACTGGACAGAAAAATTAGTGGCTGACAGCTTGTCAGGGGTAAATCTGTGGCTTAGATTTAGGTCTCCTGACTCCACATCCAGCAAGTTCTGTTGGTAGACTAGTAAATGGGAAGCAAGGAGCTTGTTGTCTAGGTGGAACAAATCCAAGTTTTATAAGACCTGAAACCCCCACAGTTCAGAGAAGGGCTTCTTTAAGGAAAAGAATATGAAATAATCGTGTAAATAAAAAAGTAGGGCCCCTCACAAGACTATGGAAAGAGCATATGCAGGTGATAGGCTCTAAAGCTTAAGCTTCATTAGCCTGACAAATCTGCTTCTGTTTCTAAATTTAAATATTTTTCAGAGATAAAGTACCCAAACATATTCTGATGATGTGACTAAAATATTATATTAACTTGCTTATAAAACAACCAGAAAATATTGGCACTGTGACCATTAGTAAATAGTCATCTCACTGTGTCAGATGAGACATAGCAGCTACAAAAAATAAATTACATTATTCAATTTAGAAGTGTAATTTTAGCAATGAGGATTTTTTAAGGTACATAAAATTTTGATCTATTGTCTTACATGAAAATTATTTTTCATTCATATACCATTGGTCATTAAAAATTAAAAGATGTTCTTAATTGGCATTATAGCCATACCACTCCACAATCTATATTTTTTAAAATGTAGTTTTTTGACTTTTAGGCCTTTGCTATCAAGTACTTGTAAATGAGTTCAACAATATAATTTAAAATTAGACTTAATCTGTGATTAACATTTCTAATACCAACTTAAACAGCAGATCCAAGAATGCATGCATCCCAATGGACTTTGTCTAGCATGGATATCATTCTTTTTATGTTTATTTAAGAATGCATTATAAATTAAGTACCCTGAGCTATATTTGTATTACATTTTAACAACTTACACTTTTTTTCTGAGAACTCTTTTTCTTGGGTTATATTTTTAAACGGTAGCTTTATTTCTGTATATTATTAATTTCATTCTTGTTTGGGAGTGTAAAAGACTACAACAGTACTTATACTAGTAAAATTATCTGGGTTTTCCTCAACTTTCCAAAAAGCTTTTGGAAAAAGAATTTTGTATGTTTAATACTGAAAGGAATGTTAGAAGTCATCAAGTGGAGTCCAATCCCAGTATTTGATATGGAAAATGAGCCACAAGGAAGAATAAATGTAACAAAGTTGGTGGATTTGTTAAAACTGCAGATGAGCAAAAGTGTTTGAATTCATATTTATAATCCTCAGATCTATTCCACCACCATAGTTTCTTACATCCCATGAATTACATGGGTGTGGGTGCGTGGTATTTCTCCTTTCCTCTCATTCCCACTCCTTCCTTCTTCAGATTTGCTTTCTTCTCCCTTCCTCCCAACGTACCCCCACACACACTTTCCACAGAAACATAGTCACCACAATCACATAAACCATTCCATTTTGTAAAGTTGGTTCTACTCAGATGCAAAAAGACATGACAGTTGGAATAAGCCAGGACAAATAAATCTGCTCCTTGTTTTCCTTCCCACTCCTTTTTACTCACCATGGATAATTTGTATTTATTCCAATTTAAGGAAATTTTAAATATTCTGATAATGGGATTTTCTATATGGAAATGTCTCACATTTTCTCTCTCTGAATTAAATGTGAAGAATAATCATTAACATATATGTTCCCTAAAGTCAGCTTGACACAACAAAAATGAATTCAAGAATGGAAATAAATAACTGGGTAATATAAACCAAAATTTACATGTTTATCTAGAATATCTTAGAAAATCTCCTCAATTTTTAACTTTCCTCTTATTTTAAGACATTACCCACAAAGCATGTCACTTTATTAGGGTAAAAGCTAAATGTAAAAGTCACCCTGAAGCCTGTTCTTTTTAGGTATTCACAAGATGTAGCTGCCTGACCTTTTGATATAAGATGCTAATTAACATAGAGCTAATGAGTATTTGGTAGCAGATACTGTCAGTTCCCCATTTTTTAATCCATGATAAACTCTTCTTGTAAATCTTTTGGGGTCTCCTCTTATCATCTATGTTGATATTCCAAAGACAGCTTTAACATGAAAATAACTACTAATAAATAATTAAGATAGGAAAGGAATAGCTTCTAAAGTGTAAAAACACCTAATAGAACCCTGAAAATCTTTGGATTACCAGTTGCTTATGTATTTGACCTACCGCTATTGCAACCATCTGCAGGGTAGGTCTAACGATAGAATATAACCCAAAAATTGTTTTTAATCTAGAAGGTGGCAGGGTGGGAAGAAGCCCCATGAGGGCAAAATGTGCAAAGAACACTATGTGCTCTACTCTACATTTTCTCAGCCAGCTCAACACTCACTATATTGCATTTGGTTTTACAACTGCACATAAAATGGAGTAGTTTTATGAACATGTTTGCCGAAGGTATTTTTATGTTAAATTTCTTTTTATAAACTTCTAGGTTGAAATAAACCTAAAACGATATCCAACTCCTTACCCAGAGGATTTAAAGAATATGGTAAAATCTGTACAAAATCTGGTGGGTAAGCCAAGCCATGGAGTGCGTGTTGAGAATTCAAATCCAACTGCTAACACGGAGCAAACTGTGAAAGAAAAATATGAACACAAGTGGCCTGTAGCCCCAAAGGAGATAACAGTGGAGGTATTTCAAGGTTATTGGTAATTGCCAGTGTGGTTTGGATTTTTTGGAATTACTAAATTATATGGTTTTTTTAACTGATTAGATCTTCTCTGATAAGTGCATTTTTTCCCCTGAAATACAAATGAGTCTCTCTACTTTTTCAAACTATGAGGGTTGCATTTAATCAATTACAGGTAAATGACACCCTCATGGTCTGAAATTATTAATACAGCTCCAAAAGTTCCAATACACACAGAAGGAATAACTTGCTCACTCACCTAGGCCTGGCCAGTAAGTGCGTTATATCATTTTCACTATACTCTTTTGGCTACCCCAAACTTTTATTGTATGAGTCATTAGAAAAGACTAGATGAAGATTTTTTTTTTTTTTTTTACTCTGCAAATCTCAGTAAAATTCTCAATCAGATTCAGAGCCATTTTTTGTTTGTTTCTGTGTTTAGATTAAAACCTTTATAAGAAACACTAAACACAACAAAGAGGAGATAAGTTTGAAATTTAGCTTTTCTAGATCTAGCATTGTGAAACTTAATTCCTATATTTTAGGATAAACTAGATGTTCATCCTTACCCATTTGTGTGGTCTGAAAAGAATTCAACTACATTTATGCCACCTCTGTACTATCTCATCCACTCTTCAGCTAATTTGGTTATCACCTTTTTATTTTCATTAGAGACATACCTGGTATGAGTACATCTAGAAGTTACTATACCTACTTCTCAAAAATCTAAGTTCGTGAAACTCTTTTACAAATCTGCATTTCACAGCGTCAATTTGTTGCACTGATTAAACACCAACTGTATATTTAGCACTGTGCTAAACACTGTGAGAGAGAGAAAAGAAATATAAAATGTGCACACAGTCGCCAACTAATTCAGAGCCTTGCCAGGTAAAATTACCACAGATGCAGTGATTAGAGAACACAGTATCTGAACTATGATCGCCTGATTAGTTGTGGGATGGAGAATACAATAGTACTTTAAGAAATTGGAGAGAGACCTGATCACTGCCACTCAATTAAAAAGTTGTGTGAAACAGTTTAAGGTTGCAGTGCATATTGAAAATGGGGTGCTTCTTTTAAAGTCGAAAGAGAGGAAGTCATTCCAGACAAAGGGAAAAAACATTGAGCAAAAGTAAGCATGGTGTGAATACCTGCCAGTGGAGGGATCAGCCTGCCCCAGAAAAGAAGATTACAGCTTGGTATCCAGGGAGGAAAACTTAGGTAAATACTCATTTCCCTTCTTTTAGGGGGGGGTTTTGCAAAATAAGCAAATGACATGAATGAAAGCAATATTATTGTATTATTGTACTTTTTCCTTTTAAAATATCACAGGCGATAGAAGAGAAACAGACTTTTCTTTTATCTCTAAGACACTGCAATAATATAAAAAGGCACAAAGCCGACATTTAGGAGTACACACTAAATACAACTACACTTCATATTTAAACCTCATGCAATCACAGTTTAACATTAAAATAATTGTGAGGTCATGCTAACCCATAAACTGAGTGATTTTACTTTAAATAAGAAGATTCTAAAATTGCTTAATACAGGGTTAGGATAGGTGAGGCAAGGAAAAGATGGTTTGGGCCATAAATTTAGTGATAACCCTACTAGAGAAAATAAATCTTAAAATTATTCCAAAAGCATTTAAAACTAGAAAAATCTAAAATTAAATTTAATGTTTCTTCCCCAAATTTGCTCCTGCTCCTATATGCCCAGTCTTGATCTCTGCTAACACCATTATCTGTTAGCTTACTCAAGCTAGAAATTGGAAGGTATCTTGATTTCTTTTTCCTTCTTTCTCTCTACTCGCTGCCTCTCCAGTCACCTAAATCTATGTATTTTCATCTAAGTGTATCTCCTCAACCTCCTCAGGCCCTCAATTCTGTTCTGCATTATTATAAAAACTGCCAACTTCTTGGCTCACGTTGTCCCCAGCCCCCTCATTACTTTGTCAATAAACTAGTTTTTTTTTTTTCAAGATTTTATTTATTTATTTGACAGACAGAGATCACAAGTAGGCAAAGAGGCAGGCAGAGAGAGAAGGGGGAAGCAGGCTCCCTGCTGAGCAGAGAGCCCGATGCGGGGCTCGATCCCAGAACCCTGGGATCATGACCTGAACTGAAGGCAGAGGCCTTAACCCACTGAGCCACCCAGGCACCCCAATAAATTGTTTTTTTTAAAAGATATTATTTATTTAAGAGTGAGAGAGAGCACAAGCAGGGGGAAGAACAAAGAGACAGGGACAAGCAGACTCCCTGCTGAGCAGAGAGCCCAATGAGGGACTGAATTTCTGGACCCTGAGATCATAACCTGAGCCAAAGGCAGATGCTTAACTGATTGAGCTACCCAGGCACCCCAGAGAATACAAATTTTTAATTCAGTCCAGTTCAGTTAACATTTAACTGACTAAGCCGCACAGGTGCTCCTAATAATGATCTTTTTAAGGCCCAAATCTAATTTTCCCTTCTTAAAAACACTTGTTTCCTATCTAATTGAAACTCAGTCTTAAGCTTTATAATTATTTCAGTGATTTACCCCAACTTTTCTTTTTTTTTTTTTTAAGACTTATTTATTTATTTATTTGACAGATCACAAGTAGGCAGAGAGAGAGAGAGAGGGAAGCAGGCTCCCTGCTGAGCAGAGAGCCCGATGTGGGGCTTGATCCCAGGACCCTGGGATCATGACCCGAGCCGAAGGCAGAGGCTTTAACCCACTGAGCCACCCAGGCGCCCCTACCCCAACTTTTCTTAGTTTTCTTCTTCTCCTGGCCTTTTCTCTTGAATAGAAATTTCACTGGTAATATCAATACTTTTTCTAAAATTGAGATTCTAGATCTTCTTTCCCCAACTTTTACCCATCCTAGAACAAAGCGAAGCTGTTGCTTTTTTATCATCCTCCCTTTTTGAATTGCTCACCCAGATAGAGGGGCCACACTCCATATTTTCAACTTCCAGATAAAATAAGCATAGATAGCCAAGTGTCCAGCTGATCAGTGTATATTAAGCATTTTATTGTATGTTTTGCACTTTTATGACATTTTAAAGTAATTATTTAGTTCATACTGTCAAGAATGTGGAAGAAAATATCACATATTTCATGATACATTTATCCTATGATTAAATATGGAAAACCAAGGAAAAAAGAATAAGGTAAGTAAAACCAGAAGCAGAAAATGGTAAGAATAAACAAGGTAAATAGATTATAAATGCAGTAGAGAAAAGGAAAAGGAAAAATAAATCAACATTTCTTGATGTCTTTCTATTTGCCAACCCTATGCCAAGAGTTTTAGTATATGTTATGCTAGACAAAGAAAACAGTGGGGAGGGGGCATATGAATAAGCAGGACAGGGAGGTATGAAGGTTGTCTTCTACCTCCATATTCCTTTATATAAGTTTTATGAAGCTTACATTTGCTTTTTCCCAGTGTCTTAGTCCATTCAGGTTGCTATAACAGAATACCATAGACTACATGGTTTATAAAGAAAAACATTTATTTATCATAGTTCTGGAGGCTAAGAAGTCCAAGATCAAAGTCCTAACAGATTCAGCATTTAGTAAAGACCTACTTCCTGGTTTATAGATGGTCATCTTCTCTCTGTGACCTCACACAGTTTTGAAAGGAGATAGGGAGCTTTCTAGGGTCTCTTACAATGGCACTAATTTCATTTGTGAGGGTTCTATCCTCATGACCTAATCATCTCCCAAATGTCTCACCTCCAAATATCATCATATAGGTTTCAACTTACGAATTTTGAGGGGACACAAGCATTCAGTCTTTAGCACCCAGCTCTTTATAGGACTAGCACTTCTGCATCTTTCCAAATTTGAGTTTAAAGATGACCTCAACAGGAAGGCCTTCCCTGAGCACCATGGTCAGTAGAACTTCTGATTTCCTCTATCACATCATCCTGTTAATTCGTGTTAAAGATAATGAAAACATTTATGATTATGTTGTTTATTAACTTCAGACTGAATTTCATGAGGGCAGGAACCAGGTATGTCTTGTCTATCATTGTCTTTCTGATGTCTAGCACAGTGCCTAGTACAGAGTCAGACACAATAAATATTTGTTGAGTACATGAACAACTGATAGAGTCTAGTGTTGTAATACTGATAACGTGTCTGTCTCTTTGTCAAATTAGAAGTAAATTGAGGGAAGAACAATTTCTCTTAAGTTTTTGTCAAATTAATCATTATTGAGTGTTGGCTGCCATACCTGGTTATATTTTATCACCTATATGTTGAATAGCATGTATTTTAAAAACGACAATTTACCATATTAATATATTAATACAATATTATGAGTAAAGGCAAAATATCATGATGAAGAATATTAGGAGAGTGAGGAAAGCAAGGAAAGAGGAAGGAAGGGAGGAAGGAGAATGGAATGGTAAATAAAGTTATAACTTAAAATAAGTAAAGACTAGGGGTTCTAAAAATCTTGGTATACAAATACTTAGTGCCTGAGTAATTTCGTTGCAAGGACCATGGACCAAAAAAGTACCAAACAGTTCCATTCATTAAGTATTAGGTCTGAGCAACTTCATACATATTTATGCCCTGTCCAGTGGTCATTTGAAAAATAGTGCACATAAATTTAAAGGGAAAATAATAGTTTTATTTTATGTTTAAATAACAAAACTGATTAATAAAATTTGTGCACCTGTGGGACACCACTTATCTTCTCAAACCTTGAATCATATCAGGTACTACAATTCTGTTTCACATTGATTTTCAAATAGCACTTGATTTTTGATCACAGCAACACAAAAACCCAACTTCACAAAGACTGTCATCAAAAGGAAAGTGCAATCTAATACTGAAACTGAGAGCCACCAATTCATACAGTATCTGACTGATTTCAAGTATTGCTTTGTTTCCCTCAAATTTTTAAAATAACTCATATACCCCTGTGAATTTATAACAGCATCACAGGTACCTTGGAGCACAGTTTGGGAACAAGAGGAAATGCTTTCAAGTCTAGCAGACATTAATTCAAATCCTGAATCTACGTTTTAACCAATATTGTGACCTTGACAAGTCATTGAAAACTGTCTGAGCTTTGCTTTGTGTATCTTTAGAAATGCAGGTAACAATAACATTTAGAGTTTTGTAGAGATGAAAACAAGTATTTTTACATAGCTGCAAGCACAGTTCTTGGCAAAGAGGAAAGCTATAATTCCCTTCCCTTCCACAAGAGAATGATGTGCTAATCCTGCCCATCTGCCTTTAGTCCTTTTATGAGCCATTACTCTGCATTACAGAAAATTTCTCACCAGATACCTATTTACTATGTCCACCATGTTCATAAAGGTTCTGGACTTTTTCCTTTGTTAGGAGACTCAGCCCAATTTCTTTCTATAGAGGAAACACATCTATTTCCTGGTAATAGAGAGTAGTCAATTACCTTTAATTGGGTAAATGTCCTTAAATGCTTTTATTAATACCAGACCCGGACTCTTGAAAGCTCAGTCACAAGTTTTGTTTCCCCTCTCACTTCTACCTTTGGCTCCCTTTCCCTACAGCAGTGACAGCTGTGATTTAGTTTGAACCACACAAGGTCAATGGGTTAAAGAAAAAAGAGATCATACCTTTTCTTTCCCCCTCTCTTCTGTCTCCTTACCAGAAGCAAATATGGTTCAATGTGCTTAAAATGGGACCCTCATTATATTTGACTCATGACCAATAACTTCCACTGCCTTCACCATAGAAGTAACCCCAAAAGCTTCACCCACTTTTCCGACATGAACTTAATTCCTCCAGCCTCTATAAAAGAATTTATAGAGATGAAATCAACAATTAATTTCCTTCTTTGGACAGTTAACTTATCTGTTCTGTGAAGTCCAATTAGGAGAGGTGAGCTTTTCTTAGGGTAGACAATATAGCATACATAGTATCACACAGAAGGCCTTCCAGTAGAACAAATCTCAGTTAAAATACTGGCTCTACCGCTCACTGAGTTTGGGACTTGGAATTATGACTTTACCTCTATGAGCCTTCAATTACTTAACTGTAAAACAAAGATGATGATAATGAATAACTTAAAAATGATAAATAACAGTAAAGAACTAGGTTAGCAATTAAGTAATTAACAGAGATGATACAGATTAAGTGTTGAGCATAGTAGTGCAGTAGCAGATATGTTATAGATTCTCCATAACTAATGGCATCATCACCTTCAACATCATCATCATTATTATCATTTTGCTCATGAAGATAAGTGTCTAACTGGGTAAGTGGGAACCCACTGTTCTTGCTTCAGTAGTGTTACTCCTCCTACGTGGAGGGCCACAGAACTCTGAAGAAAAGGTGCAAACTCATGATTAGCTGATATCATAGTCTCTTCCTAGTCACTAGAGCTCTTTTTGATTCAAAGTAGAAATTTTTGAGCAGAACAAGAGACTTGGATCCGAGTCATACCACAGCTACCATGACAAGCTCCAGCCACAGTCTTGGGAAACAAATTGAAAATTCGATCCATACATGCAAGTTAACTTGCATACCGAATGTATAAATCATGAGGAAAACAAGGTAATGAAACCTTTAATTTACATTTCTATGCTTGTACAGCTCTTTTAGTTCTTTTGTTGACTAAAACAAAATTCTTGTACTTCAGTATCAGGTATCATAAAAATATTTCCTTTTTAAAGTATTATTTCAACAAATAAGTTACATTTAGATTCATAGAATGTTAATACTAGACAGAAAATAGCACTAATTCCATCTATTGCCTTCATCTATTACCTTCATTTTACTGACTAATTGAATAAGGTACAAAGAGGTACACTGACTTGCCCAAGATAACCAGATTAATAAATGATAAAACAGGAATGGAATAGAAATATGCCACCTTGTAATTGAATACTTTTTTATAAACCTTAACATATTTTATGACTTTTCTCAAACTTGTGTCTGCTTCTACTTAGAAATTTCTACAAAGATGTGTAAAGGCTTTTACCCTCTATTCTGTCACCTTAAAACTTTATCATAATATCTTGAAATACTTTTCAAAATCCATGAAAACAGATTTCCCTCTTCATCTCCAGAATTTCCATCAAGCCTGCTGTCTTTCCTACCTCTCTTCAAATCTGGAATGGGATTTTAAATGTCTGTAATGTGCTCACAGTTGAGCTCACTAGAAGACAGCTCAATATAAGGGAAGGTTATTGGACAGGAACCTGAGAATTCTGCCTCTATGCTGGATCTGGTCTAATTATCTCTATAAGCATGGACCTTGCTGAGTCTCAAAATTCACTTGTAGGAAATGCAAGGTTCGACTAGAAATATTTTTTTAAAATAATTAACAAGTATCAGATATATATAACCAGGCTTTTCACAGGCAAATATTCTTATACAAACCTAACCAAAACCAAACCAAAAAATTGAACGTAAGCCAGGAATTAAAGAAATGGCTATTTGTAATATCCAAAGACGTGAGCCTGTCACTCACTATGTGGGACATTAAAATATATAATAAGATTTTCTGTTTGTAATTAATTAGTTAGAAAGTAGGACACATTTCATTACTCTATTTTGTGCTCAAGTATATTCTTTCGTTGATTTAATAAAATATTTCTAAATATGTTGCACTAATGTTTTAAACTAACAAGTACTAATTAATAAGAAAACTAGAAAATACTGAAAGTTAGTTTTTTTAATTCAAATTAACCTAAGGTTAAGAAAAAAAGACATAAAGATAATTGCCATGCATAAATTTATATCACTACCTACCCATGGGCATAGACAAGACATTTTTATATGCATAAGAAAGTGAGAATTTGGTATTTTACCTCCCCCAGTGCTCTCTCACTATCTGGTTAACTGGAAATAATAATTTTAATTATAGAAGTTTAAAATTCATGGGCTTTTTTAACATGTTCATTTGTCTTTATAAAGTTATATTCTTGTACCTGTGTTGCTCATTACACTCAATGAATGGATTTAGAATGAAGATTTAGCAAGCTAGATTAATAATAAGAAAACTAGAAACCTTAGGAAGAAGTCATCATAGAACTAAAGAAATTGAGGATAAAATCACTTGGGAAATAGAAGTTAAGAGGGGACTGGCAATAAAAGCAGCATTTAAAGGACCCAATTGTGCATGAGGACAGCTGAGGATGAAAAGAAATTTAGTTTGTCAGTGATGGACTTTCCTCTTAGAACTCTTAATGGAGCTCCCCCCCCTTAGATTCTTAAATTTATATGTATAACATATATATGCATGTATGTATCATATACTCACATACAGCTTATCATAATTCGGTCCTGTGTTATAAAGATGTATCTCATCTCCCCAGCTAGATGGTAAGTCTCCGAGGGACAGGGGTGACATTTTGTCTTTCTTTGGAAACTCTACAGTTCTTTGCACAGTGCCAGGCATATAAAAAGGCATTCAAAATATGTCTGATGAACAAATGGACTCATTTAAATTAGAAAAACAAAACATTTTAGTACTTACCTCAGAGAAACATGTGATTCACTTCTCCTAGTGCTCCACAGTGACCTATAGTCTAGAGCCCCATCTTTAAATCTGAGCCAAATAAAGATATTGCCATCTTGGTTAACCAATGTTTAAATGTTTACTTTCCTTGTCCTATATTATTATATCTCTCAGGATTCTTTTGTTCATCCAGCTAATGAAATGAGGATTGGGGAACTTCACCCTTCATTAGCTGAGACCCCTCTGTACCCACCCAAACTTGTTCTGCTAGGGAAGGACAAAAAAGGTAACATTGCGAACCTGATGTGGAAAATATGCCACAAATGCATGTGCATGATTAATCTCCAGTCGTAACTTATGATTCATCATAGTCTATAGAAATATTTTACAAATATATATTCCTAACATTGTTATACTATCTGTTTCTCATACTTGCTATTCTGTGTTCATTATTGTCAGTGTTCATAGCATTATAACATTTTCCCCTTTACATTTCAGAATCAACTGATGAGTCTGAAGTTGACAAAACTCACTGTCTGAATAACAGTGTTTCCTCAGGCACTTACTCAGACTACTCGCCTTCCCAGGCTTCCTCAGGATCCTCTAACACGCGGGTTAAAGTGGGGTCCTTGCAGACAACAGCTAAAGATGCAGTACATAATTCTTTATGGGGTAACAGGTGTGTTTAGAATTCCCTTTTTTCTGTTCCCAAGTGCTTACTTTCAGCAACTTTTTTTTAAAAATGGGATCTTAATTTTTGAATTATATTCAGCACATGAATGGTGTAGAAGACAGATGGATGGGGAAGGTAAGCAAACACAGTCCCCCCGGGATTTCCAGGAGACGATGAATCCATTTTATACAGCAAAACCTTTGTTTAAGGGAGAGATGGTAAGAGATTATCAGGTTGAGATAATAGAACCAGAGTTTTAAAAATCAGAAACCAAAAATCCTGTTTGTCCAATACTTATTTATGACACACGTGGGCATCTCACTACCCCAAATGGGGTTATGGATTAAACTAAGATGCATGGAAAGCAGTTGTGTGCCTAGTACGAAGTAAATATTTAGTAAAATTTTCATTGTTATCATCATCATCATTTTATTACCACATGCAAAAGTTAGGTTGTAAGCAAAAGTATTTACTCTTTCCAAAATGGTTCCTACCTTATTTTACTTCCATTTTACAGATAAAAATCAAAAGCCAAAGAGCATAATAAAGCGACTCAATAAGGTAGTAATTACCCAGTTCTTATTCTCTTGTTTTGTACCTTGTGGCTATGTTTTACAGTACAGGCAACAAATACAAATCATCATATGATATAGGTAGTCAATGATTATCACTCATGTTTTATTGATAATATCAGTACTGTTAGCAATACGTTCTTTGTTAACTAATGGATAACTATTTCTCCCTGTCAGTGCCCATCATAAAAATCTTAACTCTTTCACTTTATAAGTTCATTATTTGTGATAGAAGCTGAGATTAATGAGGTGCTTTGGAAGGTTCTCTCTAAATGTACAATTTTTTAATTAGCAAGAGCACTTAAAAGTCTTTCTCTCACTGATAAAAAATATATATAATTTAATGTTATTAGTGTGCAAACAGTTTAGAATAAGCCTAGAAAAATGAGCATCTTCTAGAAATACTGTGCTCACTGGTGTAAACAAACCAATGACCAAAAGTCATAATATATCATTTATATTCTAGGAAAACATGTTCCCTAAACAATGAATTCAGTGTTTTCAATACCTGGCCTTCAAATAAATGTTACGTGAAGACAATTTGGGTTCAGTGGCTGTATCAAGTATTTATAGGAAAGGTACTCTTGACCAGTAATAGTTTGGAAAAGTACTGAATCAGAAATTGCAGGAATGAGGACCAAGAATCGGGCGATTCTAATTATCAAACAAGTGTTAGGACCATTACTGAAGACCTATCTATTTCTTTCATTCATTTAATCATCCCACAAATATGTATTTTAATGGCTACTATGTGCCAGGCACTATGCTAGGCCTGAAGAGAAAAAAAAAAAAAAAAAATCTCTGCCCTCAGGAGGGCAGAGGACACAGGACAATACACAATAAATAAAATAGGTAAGTAAATGATATACTATGTTATAAGGTAATGATTACAAGGGGAAAATAAAAGTTAGAGCAAGGTAAAGGGGTGGATTTGGTGGGGGGGGGGCGGGACATGAAATAACAGTGCCACCTTAATTGTAAATGAGGTATGGATGAATGACCCGTTAAACATCCGTTAGAGGATTGTGGCACTCTGGGCTGCTTGTTCTCTTTCTGGCAAAGACTCAGCTCTTCCTCGTTTTCATATTTCTTCTTCCCACTGTCTTCACAGGATTGCACAATCTTTCCCACAGCCTCTTGATTCAAAGCCATTGCTCACCCAGCGGGAGGCTGTTCCCCCAGGGAATCTACCACAGCGTCCTGACCGGCTGCCAATGGGCGACGCCTTCACTGACAACTGGACTGACGGTTCACATTATGATAACACAGGGTTTGTTGCAGAGGAGACCACAGGCGAGAATGCCAACAACAATCCTCTCTTAAGTTCGAAATCTAGAAGCACATCTTCTCACGGACGCAGGCCTTTGATTAGGCAGGATAGGATTGTTGGTGTTCCCCTGGAACTTGAGCAGTCTACACACAGACACACGCCAGAAACAGAAGTGCCTCCTTCCAATCCTTGGCAGAATTGGACCAGAACCCCTAGTCCTTTTGAAGACAGGACCGCTTTCCCTTCCAAATTAGAGACAACCCCCACCACCAGCCCATTGCCTGAAAGGAAAGAGCATATAAAAGAATCTGCTGAAATACCTAGTCCTTTTTCTCCAGGAGTACCATGGGAGTATCACGATTCCAATCCCAACAGGAGTCTTAGCAATGTCTTTTCTCAGATCCACTGCCGCCCAGAATCATCTAAAGGTGTTATTTCCATTAGTAAAAGCACAGAGAGGCTTTCCCCACTCATGAAAGATATCAAGTCCAATAAGTTCAAAAAGTCACAGAGTATCGATGAGATTGACATTGGTACATACAAGGTGTATAATATACCATTAGAAAACTATGCTACTGGGAGTGATCACTTAGGAAGTCATGAACGGCCAGATAAAATGTTGGGACCGGAGCATGGTATGTCCAGTATGTCTCGAAGCCAGTCAGTGCCGATGCTGGATGACGAGATGCTCACTTATGGAAGTAGTAAAGGGCCACAGCAACAAAAAGCTTCCATGACCAAAAAAGTCTATCAGTTTGACCAAAGCTTCAATCCCCAAGGAGCAGTGGAAGTTAAAGCCGAGAAGAGGATACCGCCCCCCTTTCAACACAATTCCGAGTACGTGCAACAGCCCGGCAAAAACATCGCCAAGGATTTGGTTAGTCCTAGAGCTTACAGAGGATACCCACCCATGGAGCAAATGTTTTCATTTTCTCAGCCATCTGTGAATGAGGATGCTGTGGTGAATGCCCAGTTTGCAAGCCAAGGTGCCAGGGCAGGCTTCCTGAGAAGAGCCGACTCCCTGGCGAGCTCCACAGAAATGGCCATGTTTAGAAGGGTCAGTGAACCTCATGAGCTGCCTCCGAGCGATAGGTACGGCAGACCTCCATATAGGGGCGGTCTGGATCGCCAAAGCAGCGTTTCAGTGACTGAGTCCCAGTTCCTGAAAAGGAATGGCAGGTATGAAGATGAACACCCTTCATATCAAGAAGTGAAAGCTCAGGCGGGAAGTTTTCCAGTTAAAAACCTTACCCAGAGGAGGCCATTGTCTGCAAGAAGCTACAGTACAGAGAGTTACGGTGCCTCCCAAACCAGGCCAGTTTCAGCTAGGCCTACTATGGCAGCTCTTTTGGAAAAAATACCATCTGACTATAACTTGGGTAACTATGGTGACAAGCCATCAGATAACAGTGATATAAAGACGAGGCCCACTCCTGTGAAGGGAGAGGAGAGCTGTGGTAAAATGCCTGCAGACTGGAGACAACAGCTGCTTAGACATATAGAAGCTAGAAGGTTAGACAGGGTATGTCTGGCATTTCTCTGTAAGAATATCCCTCCTGCCTTTAGTTTTCCTTTATTGGCATTTCTAAGCACATGTAGTGAAGCATGAACTACATGAATGAATAGATGATCAGCATTTTATTTCTCTCTCTATTGTGGGGAAATGGATCATAATAGTTTCTCGTGGATATTGTTTAATGCTCTTCGAGAGTCCATAACCTGTAGGTGAATGATTTATCAAATCTAGCCTAAATATTGTTAGTAAGAAAGAATTTGACTCGATTATGTGGGATGGTGCTTCAATTGCTTTCTAGCCGTTAAGGTGGAATGCCTCTCCTAGGACACAGAACTGTTCTCTAGCGACCTAAAGAGTATGATTTTTATTGAATCTATAAAAAGTGAGTATTTTGCCCCTTTCTGCACAGACTCACTTATAATAAAGTCAGGCCTAATTTGTTTATAAAATTTGCATACAGTTACTGCTATGGGACTACTAAAGTTATTACTTCTAATGAGCAATAATCTTCCCAGCAAGAAACAGAAAAATAAAATAAGCAGACATTGAATGCCCTCCTACACATTATTTGACTTAATAAAAAAAATCCTGCCACTTAGAATGTTGATTTTTATACAAAAAGAAATGTTTAAATTCAAATCATGCTATAAGCAACAAAAATAGATGATGTCTTTATGAAGACTACAAAGGCACAAATTAGTGTGTATATTGCAACCAAAAAAAAAAAAAGAAAATTAATCCCAATTCAGTTACAGACTGAGTCACAATACAGCCTGGAATCATAGTGATTGAGGAGGATAAAAATATATATAAATATATTTTGTTTCAAAGCCTAGAATTACTTTTTGTTGCCTATTTATATCTCCTTAAGAGACTAATACTTCATTTTCTAGAACTATGATCAATTGACCCTTATCGTTGAATGTACTTTGTGGCTTTGGTGTAGAGGGCCTTGTGAACTCTGCATTGACCTTGGAACCTTAAGGTCCTTTTTGTCAATAGGGCCTTTTGCTCTCATTTTCTAGGGCTTAAAGACTTAGTGTGAAATAGGGATCTGGGTAATAATATACCTTTAGAAAGTTTTGCTCAATAGTTTTATTATTTTATTTGGTGTCCTGCTAAAAGCACAGGCCACGGCATTTATTATATATTTCCTTAATATTGAATTTTGTGTTTTCAGGTATAGTCTTTTTAAATAATTACATTGTTTGTAGGTCGTGTCTACATGACAAGAAAACAATTATTTTTAGGAACAAGTGAACTAACAAATGTGGGTGTGGGTGTTAGTTTTTCAATGTGGAGATTGGTTCTGCCTTGCAAACTATTTCATCAGAATGTCTGTTTCAAATAGGTGTGCTCAGTCCCATTGAAGGGAGCCTCATCAAAGCCTCATGACTGGCTGTCAGTGGGAGACACCTGGTCAGTTGTCACCATGCCTTACCTCAACTTATACCCTCCATGTAGACAGATAACTTGGAGGGCGGAAATATTTGGGGCCAAATAATACAGTACAGTTTGGGAACTCTGGCCTCGTGTAGACACGACCATACGTAACAGGGTAAGATGAACTAGTCAAGAAAGGTTATGAGAAGCTTTTCAGAGCATATGTACATGACTAGTAATTTGAGGCAAGAGAGGAGTGAGTGAAAACAAAGCATGAAAAAGAAGACAAAATGCTAAGCATTTGGTACCATCATGTATTTACTGATTTCTCAGATAATGGTTCCTCTCCTTTGATCGGAGCTACTCCTCTAGCTGGAGCAGGAATTTGGAGAGAGGAAAATAGGACCAGGGGAGGGGGATTTAGATTGGCAGAAGTCTGCGAGCCCTGCCCGGCCCAGATCCAGAAAACTAAAAGTAAACTCATGTGTGTTTTCTATTACTGTGACAACACCTTCCTTTTCAGTTAGTTTCCATGCTTCCCCTCTTCGTTTATAGTTCCCTTAGTCTGTCTTTCATTTCCCAGAGCAATTTCAATGTATAGTCCATAGCTTCTTATTTAATTCCAAGAAATTAAGTTACCGGACAGTATTGCTTCAAGGCAGTAGATCCTGAAAGTTTGTCCTCTTATTTTCTCCAAATAATATTTCTTTCCCCCTCTCAAGTGCATGACTGAGCTATTCAGGCTGTAGCTTACTTAGAACTTCCCAGCTACTCAAAAAAGATTAATTCAGGGTACGGAAGCAAAGACTTTTTATGTAAGACTAGTTTTGACATAGCTGTGCTTCTTAACATAGTGTTCAAAGTCACACTGCACCGGAGATACGGTCTGTTTCCTTCCCAGTGAAATTTAGTTGAGGATGTAAACCTGGAAATCAAATAGTTACACTAGAAACTACAAGCCCTTTGTCCGTTCTTCATAAGAGAGAAATGCCCAGAGGCCTGGACATTGGATAAGCTTAACCACCCAAGATAATGTTGGTTAAAGATCTTGCCTGCTGTTGACCTTGGAGAGGCAGCTCCCAGTACTGCCATAGATAAAAGATGCTGTTTTCTCCTGTAGTTTAACCTCAAGGCTCATGCTTCCACAACAGAGCCCCACTGTGAGAGAATTTAAAACACGAATGTGTATGTCCGAGACTGCTACCCTTCTACAGGAGCTAAGAGGGCACTACCCTGGAATAATCTTAAACCTTAAGGAATCATTCAAGTGCTAGATTGAAATGTCCGGTGTCCTTTTCAACTTTGGCATGGTGACAATGAAAGATCACTGGATGAAATAATCAAGGATCCATAACAAGTATGATTGGTAGAACAGCACACTGTCAGGAGTATAACTGTCGTTCAGTTGAGTTTAGGGAAACTGATGCTAAAAATCATTACTTTGCAAACAATGCCTTTAGACTAGAATAGCTGCCTACTGTTATTGTTCAGTAACACTCAGTTTTAAAAAGTTTATTAAGTTAATTTGTGTGAATTTTTTTTTCCCAAAATAAGAGAATTACTTAAAGGGACCAAATACTGTCAATTCCTACTTTTTTTATGGAAGGTGGAAAGTGGAGATTGTAGTAATGGAAACTATTTGATGACGGGACATACAAAATGTTTTAATTTAAATGAAATTCTGTAGAAGAAAAATTAACTAGCTCTCAAATCCCTGGAGTAACCTGAGATGCACCTGCTGAAAGATAGCCACAATGCAGATATCACCAGAGTGCTCTATAGGTACTTAGGTATATTAGATAAATAACCTTAACAGCTCAAATCATACTTCCTTTAGTATCACTGTGAAATTTCTCCAGTTTAAAATGTAATTTTTATGAAACAAACAAAAAAAGTCAGAAACTTTGGATCCACATACAATTTTTTTGACTGGTTTAATTAAATTAATCAGTAAATTCAGTGAGCCAATAGTCAGGTTGAATGACTTTTTTTGACCAGCTCTTTTTCTGAGTTGCTGTATTTATGTCTATAGACTGAGCAATAATGGACACTGATTTTTGGCTTTAACATTGTAGTGCCTTCGTTTTAGGGCAGAATTAGAAGTTGGTATCTGTCTTTTGTATGTGTTTATCTCACAATGTGAAAGAGACCATGAGATCTGGAGCTGGCAAAATTTGATTAAGATCTCACTGTTTGAATTTTTTTTTTTAACTAATAGACTACCACAGGCGAACATTTGTCCAAAGTCACTACGATCATGATATATGAGAGATAGGTTCTATGCCCTTGAGTTAGCAGCAAATGTAAAACAGAATGTATCCTTGCTTTTTGTCTTTTCTGTAGTTTTGGATGGTACTCATTATGTGCATAACTAACACTGTTTACTGTATGCTTCTGTCTGATCAAGTGCATGTTTAAAAGAAAGTTACTGTTTGCCCGCTTAAAGTTAAATGTTATAAATTTAAACATGTTCATGTAATAATCAGTTTGTTGAGCATGTGTTCACACCCTGTCACATGATTATTTCCTCTACTCAGAATGCTGCTTACAAACACAACACAGTTAACCTTGGCATGCTGCCCTATGGAGGTATTTCAGCAATGCATGCAGGCAGAAGCATGACTTTAAACTTGCAGACTAAGTCTAAATTTGATCTACAAGAACTACCTCTTCAGAAAGTAAGTATGGACTGCCTTACATGTGTCAGCATACCAAAGCCAATTAATGTTGTTTGTTCACTTAATGTGTTTAGGCTGTACATACGACCCTGCTTATAGACTCTCCCGAGTCCAAAAAGCACAAGGGCAAATAATGTAGAGCCCAAACTCTTAGCTGCTAAACGAATATTGAGAGCTAGAATGATTCTCAGGTTCCTGCTGAACAGCTTGCTTTTTGGATTGAGCAGGTACATGGCTTTTTGAGTTGCTTTAAGGCTCATTTTCTTATTACTCATTTCTTTTTCTTTTATTCTTTGTTTTCCTTTCTTTTGTGTGTGTGTAGATACATAAACGTATATTTTTTAAAATGTTTTTGGAGATAGCCCTCTCTTCCCTTGCTGATGCATTCTGAGAACAGAGCTAGAAATTATTGTTGGATTTCAGCTGAACCCTTTGGAAAAGACATAGAGACCTAAATTACAATGGAAATAAAGTGGTTGGCACTCCTAAATGCTTCTTCAGCCCATTGTCTTTGTGGAAAATATCACACGGAAATAAAACCTGAGAAACAACCTCGTGGCTTAGCTAGCAAATTGTTACTCATCCTAGACTAATGGAAAAGGAACACGTTAACAGGGCTTTCAATATAATTGTAGGCTCATTTGAAATAAAATATAGTGGAAGATGAAACATTTCCATTGTCGAAGGAATATTTCTGCTGTTTAATTCAGGCAAAAGTGAGAATGCACATTTTACCCGTTTAGATTGACTAACGCCTCTGTCTTAGTTATATTCTGTTAGAGGCTAATGAGTCATTTTCATGCAATATGTCATTATGACTATATTATTAATATAGTCATCAGCCTAGTAAGTTTTATGAAGAAAAACAATGCAAAGTAGGGATAACAGAGTGACAGTAGCCTCCAAATACTTCTCTCATAATAAAATTAATGAACATGAGGAACAAATTCCCATCCCAGCAAAATGAAAGCCAAAGACCTCAAATCCATGTTTTATTGTTAAATTAGTCTTAATAACAATCCCTAACTCTGTATAGTTTTCTTCATAGTGTCATAGAGGAATAAAACCAAAGAGACATCTAAATTCACAGCTTTTTCATCACCCACAGTTGTTTTGGGGGGAAAAACTAATTAAGTTAAGAACTTTTGAACGTTGGATTTGCACTGAGGAATAGATAAGACACCATTTAACTAGGCCCCTCTCCTGATGGGCTTGGCAATTGATAGGAATCAAGCCCTTAAACTAATAGGATGGAATTTCAAAATTTAGTGAGCCGATTACCAAGATCTTGATGGGAAGGAGTTGTTGTTTGCACCCCTTGAAATTGTATGGAAAGCCCCTTATTTTGCTAATGTTTAGCCCTATTAAACTCAGCCATCTATAGAACAATATGGATATATTCTGTGTCTGAAAAATGGTAATATACTTGAAAGGCTGTTTCTCAATGTTTAAATTGTTCCCCAAATATCAATTTGGTGCCTCTATGTTGCTATATTAACTTTCTGATCTTGTTTGGGGTACCCAAGGGAACAGATTCATTAACTGTTACTATAGCCCTAAGAGAATCTATATCAGAAATATTACAGAGTTCTAATATTTAGAGACTTTTCAACCTTCCTCAGTTAGATGACCTAAAGGAATTCTCTTTGGAAGGTACATTAAATTGCAAGCCAAAAATAGTTTGAGTATTGAAAGACTCCATCTTAAAATGAATTATCACCAATATGTTATCCACACGAGGCAGGGAGTGTGGAGAGAGAGAGAAGAGAAAGCAAGGGAGGGAAAAGGAATATAGACAGGACAGTTGGCTCCATCACTCCTAAAAGATTACATGACCCCAAGTTACCAGTTTAAAGCATATAAACTTTCAGCTTTAGGCATCTGGGGCGACTTTCCTATCCTGCTGCCAGTGTAGGAGCCTTGTCAGGTATGGGCACTGGGTGCTTGATGTTTCAGGAATACTCCAGACTCTACTTATTCCCATGGATTCCACTCTAGTTCTCCGCCCCCTCATCTTTATGCTCAGGCACAGCTCTTCTGCAGAGCTGCTTTAATTTGAAAATGTCTTTGTTTTTTCTGCCAAGCTTTAGAGTCACCCTCTCTTAAAATTTTCCTTTCTTGGCTCCACTGACCATCGCTAACAGGTCTTATGGTCGAGGTTCAATTTCCCTGAGTCCTCACTGGGAGAGGAGAGAGACAAAAATTATTTTCCTTTGACTTACAAATGCATAAAAACCTATTACAACATTTTTGTCTTGCTACTTAAGATAATAAAAATTTGTACCAGCAATTTAAGATTTCTTTGCGGTCTCTAAATGCTTGTTAGCCATGAGAACTGCACTGAAAATATAAAGTAAGATCAATTTATAAAGAAGTATTTTCTGTAGATAAAACTGATAAAACTGTTCATTCTCCCATGGAAATATGGGAGCTCTTTTTATTTATAAAATTTCTGAATGACAATACTAGCCATCTTTAGGTAGGTGCTGTGGCAAATACCTCTGGATGTCCTGAGGAACCTAAATTAACATTTTCACGTATTACCAGTTAAGTGCTGGAAACGGAGTTACAAAGACTCCTCAGGGAACGTTCAGGGGCTGAACTCCACATCCTTTCCCCATACTCTGCTTGGCAAACCGTACCTCTTGCAATTGAGGCGGTTTTTCGTATTTTCTCTGTCACACGGAGATGCTATTTTTGCAGCTTGTGTACCCAGAAAGGGCAGCTTTCTGTGATTCTAACCTTTCCCAACCTTCATATTGGTAACTGATGGAAAGGCACTATTTGTACTAGCTGAGGTCCTAACTCAGGGTGTTATTTGTTTTCTGGTTTGAGTTTCTGTTTGGTTACCAAACGTATCTAGTTATTTTTTTCAAATGTTTTAAACAAATTTATAATAAACTAATTAAAGAAGGTAGTTGTTTGTAAATGAAGTCTGAAGAATCTGTTCTTCTATTTACAAAGTGAATATTGATGTAGATGAAGAGAGAAGACTCTCCCAGATTTTTCTGTGTTTCTGAATATTTCTAATTTGTTCGTATTTATTACATGCCAGGTCAAGTTTTATACATTTTTCATGAATTACAAGCTCCACATAGGCTCCCTATATTATAAACAGTAAATTACATGTTCTATGGTAATTTTAGGCAACATATTAACAAAATGTCAAGATATACAACAAAATTATTTTAATGTTTAATTTCCTTTAATTTTTTTATTTACTGATGTTTATTCTAATTTCCTAAGAAAATTAGTAGTACTTATAACCAGGCACTTAACATGTATAAATCATTATTAAATTATAAAATTATTACTATTTTCTATCTATCCATTTATTTATTCATTCACTCATTCATTTATCATTTATTTCCTGCCTCTCCAAAAAGCATTTAAGGCAACTTTCTATGACATTATTAATGGTTCCATGTGCTTCTTCGGATGTGTTCTGTTTAATTGAGCTTAGTTATTGCCTTGAAATTTTATGTTATTAGAGAGAAATATAATATTGTAAAATGTCAATTCAAATTGCCATTTTTATAATCCAGATTAATGGTAGAATAAATATATCACCAGGAGAATTAAGACAAGGATTTATTAAGAATCTACACTGTCCCTGGTACCATTAGGTACCTTAAATATGTTTTTTCACACAAGCCTCACAGACCCTCAAAGGAAGTATTTATCTCCATTGTACAGACCAGGAAACTGAGGCTCATGTGTCGCACAAAGGAATTTACCTACTTCTACCAATTTCCTCTTGTTACCCTTGCACCTAAAAGTAGTAGTAGGTAGAATCTGAATCTGACTCTGCTTGGCACCAGGTTTCCTGCTGTTTTTACCATACAATGAAGCCTTCTCACCTATTTATAAAACCTGACATTTTCAGAGAACATAACTCATCATTTTTGATAGAGCTCTTTCATGTACATTATTATCTTACATCATCTTCATAATAATCCAGAAAAACAGATCTTATGGGATGGAGAAAAGACTACACAGTAGAGTATATTAACTGATCTAAAACCTATCATGACCCAAATCATTCCCCATGTGCTACAGATACAGGGCTCTCTCAGTTAGCAGAACCTAATAAATGCTCACAGTTACCTCACACTTTTTAAGATTCACTTGCATTTCCTGGGCACTCGGTATTATCAAAAATACACTTGAAGGCAGTGAAAGGTCAAAGATTGTGAACCCAAGTTAATCACTCCTGCTGCTGCAGCCCCAGAGACAAGTGGGGCTGGGAAAGAAATCACTGGCCTCTGCTAGATCCCCTCTGCAGGTGTGTGCCTGACAATATAGTGTGATCTCTTACACGCTGGAGAAAGTGACACTTTTTTTCTTGTTCCTTTCTTTTTAACTTCTACCACCATAATATTATACCATAGCACCTACTGCTTATTGGCTTATTGAAATAGACACTAATGTAAATTACAACTTCAGGAAATTATGGAAATATATGTATTAAATAATCTTTTCATAGAATTTTGCCTGGAAGAAGATGGCCTTGCTATCTGTTTTATTAGTTGATACTCACCCCACTATCTTTTGGATTAGAAATATTTGGACAGAAATGTGTGCACCGAAATTATTTTTAAATTTCTAATGTCCTATCTTACCGCATCTATGTAGATGACTCAGGATCAAATAGTACCAATATTTGATATGCATTTATTCACCCTAATCTCAAGGGTTACTTACTTAATTCCATTTTTTTTTTCCACTGAAAGCAAAGCAAGATTAATGCAGCACCTTGGGGCATTATAGCTTCTATTGATTCTGCTGCACTTATTACTGGCTACCTATCACTCAAGAAAAATTCAGTTATCCTTCTAATTATGAAAAAAAAAACCCTCCAGCCTGTAAATTCACATGAATCCTTATGGACAATTGCTAAAATTACCAAAATAATAATGTTAGTATTCATTCAGACACTTTTTCACGATGACAATGAAATGCTGGTTTAAAAAATCATCTGAGAATTATATTGTGACCTTAAGAATAAACCCCTTGACATTACAATCATTTATATTGAAACTTGGCATATATATTTAATACCTATTTTTTAAAAAATATGTGCAGAAAATGAATAATCTAACAATAATTCTCATGAGAAATACTTTGGGGAAGATTATTTTTAAAACATTTTTAAATCTATGGTAATGCTTTTTATGAACTATATGCCAATTATAAGCAAAATAGATCTTTGAGTTGTTAAGGCATATATCCCAAGAGCTTTGCAAAGTGCCAAATGTTAATACCACCCTCATATAATTTCTCCAGCTAAATGCAGTAAGTATAATTTGTCAAGCATTCAGTGCACCCATTAATTAGCTAACCAAAGCAAAACTACTAGATCTGCTAAGCTCATTTATTCATATTTTTGAATCCTGTATATACACACATACTCACATCATAAGCACACACTCACACACATGCACATATATATCACAGATTTTCGTGCACATTTATGCCTCAGCAAAATTAGAAATTACTTCTTCCAGTAGACACTTGTGATCCTTTATGGTAGTCAAAAACATAAATGTTAAATCTATAAACGTCCACAGTCATTTCTGGGACTGTATCCCTTCAGCAAAACTTCTTCTTAACATTAGTGTATTTCTTAACAAACATAATTTGTGGGTGTTCATTAAATTATAATGACCATTTTCTCTATTCTCTTAAAAAAAATCTGAAGACCTACAGAATTTAGAAGCTGAGAAAATGATGCATTATGGTGATTTTCCATGTCTTTTATATTTAATTAGTTATATATGCCAAGGAAAAGAAGACATTCTTACTATTTTAAAGTATCTAAAGAAAATATCTAGCATGTGGTGCTAGAAATATTTGAGAAAATAACTGAACCTCAATTTTATTATCTCTGCAATAACAAATTTCAACAGTGATAGCTTCATTACTTTTTTAATATTTTTCAGTTTTTCCTTTTAATCCTTTATAGAATTTTAACAACAAAGCAACTGCATTTATATACAAGTCAGTAACACTTTATTAAAAGTATAATTTTTTTGTAAATAGCTATACATCTTTTGAGACAGAATGTGAACCCACTATATAGTTTTCTTTTGGACCACCTCCCCACCCAATGTTAATAAATGGTTTTCGTGGTCTTTCTCTTTCTCCAAACTTAAGCCCCAGGGAGTCTCACTTATGAAAAACAAAAAGTCCAGAGCATTCTTGAAATGAAGAAAGTGCGTTCAGGAAATTCTTTTAATTTTGGTGTCTAGTGAAAGTATTTTTTTCATGTGTCTGCATGTTTATGTTTCCTCTGACCCCTGTACTGTAGAAGCGGTGTGGTTGTTAATTCTAATTTTAAAAAGAGAAAGATTGATTCTTAAACTAAGGAGAGCCTACACCATCATGATATTAGGATTTTGACTAAAGGATTTTTTTTTTAAAAAACACCAGAAAGAATTCTGCAATTCTTAGTTGCTCTCTGTGAGCAACTAAGGACTCCTGTCTAGGCAACTGAAGCAAGGCTAGTGGAGGAAATAGGAAGGCAAGGAGGATGATATGGAGGGAAAAAAAAAAAAATACTTGTGTTACATTCTGTCCTCTTCTCAAAAATAGATTTTGCACACACACCTAACCAGATGAATACATTCATTATCCTACTTCCCTGGCACAGAAATCAAGCCAGAAAGATATGGATATTAGTTTAAATCATTAATTTAAACCAAACCAAACAAACAAAAAACACCGGTGAGTAGTGCTTACGCTGAAAATTTATATTTTAAGTGCTTAATTTTAATAATTTGACTTGTCTTATTTTAATATGTAGAAAAATTGTGTGTGGGCATATGCAAATGTTTTAATCTGAAAAACGAAAAGACCAGAAAATTAATGCTTAACAACAGACAAACAGACATTAAATAGTTATCTGGTTTTATTTCAAGTAGTATGTAGTTTTAATGTGTTACCTACATGTAATTTCTCAAACAAACGCAAGTGAATTCATTCCTCTAACCCAGATGCTTCAATTCAGTACCTGTTTTCTCTTTTTTCACACTTTCTGATAGACTCATGAAAAAGGAATTCTTATGGCCAAACCACAAGAAGAAAATTGAATTATCTCCTTACTTTTCATTATATCCATTAAACCTTAGGAAAAATTCATCTAGTGTCATAATCTTATTTTAAAACAGTTCTAAGAAATCTCTTTAAAAAAATGCATGCAGTCAGAATGCAGATTGCACGGTTATGTAATTGTTTTTTAAAAAACAACTAGGACCACTCTGTGTAACAGATGAGGGCTGCCAAGCAGCCCATCTGTGCCATGTTGTGAAGAGAATGGCCCAGTTCTTCCATGTTGGGGCTGGACAATTCCTCACACAGAGTAGAGCTGTACATACAGCCTCTAACTAGGCTTTATTTATCTATAGGGATACTTCAAAACATGTACAGAAAATGGCATAGGAAAAACTGGGCAGAATTTCCCACATATATAAAATTTCCCAGGAAATCAAGGAGTACCTGGATATCCTGTAGGTTAGGGGAGGAGAAAGTCTTTCAGGAAAGTTGATCTGTTTCCACAGGAAAAATATACCAGTACTATATCCTCCACTGGAGGCTGTCTTTCTGATGGTGTATAATTACTTGCTATTACTCAGATCAGACAATGGAGCCCTCCCTGGTATCTAATATTAATAATAATAGTGACAGAGGTATTATTATTTGTTAAAAATAATAAGCAGTAAATCAGCTAAAACTATATGAAGAGTTTAAACTTTAAATCATAAATGATCTATATAAATAAATTTAAAATCAAAACAGGCATTTATTTATACTGTGATTCTAATAGCACAATATTTTTTATGTTCCTTTCATATTTCCCTAAAAGCAATCTGTAGATAATGTCATAGTACCATAAATCTTACACTATGTTAGTATTAACAATATGTTGGATAGTGCAAGGCATGTTCTAGGAGAATCAGTACAGCCTTATAAAATTTGTTTTAGGTTATGGTTTGAAATATTGAAAGCTACATCCTATGTATTATATGGTTTCTGTTTATATTCTAAATGGTAAGATCATACTAAAGAATTGAATTAAGCAAGTTTCATATGTTGTATTTTTTAACAATTGGTTAATTTTATTCTGATTTTTTTTATTCAGGTACTGTAAATAACCTAAACTTTTCTCTAAAATTCAGTAAATAACTCTAAGGTGGTTATTTTAATTGAATTTCTCACGGCTTCCAAAAAGCTGTCAATTTAGAATACTTACTGAGTAAATAGTGTATAATAATTCTTCCAGTTCAGGATATATTGTGTTTCTGCAATTAAACAAAATTAATTTTATCATAGTCACTAGGGACTCTTTTCAGAAAACTATGATAAACGTCTATTTCATCACTAAAGAAATGCCATACCATTTTCGCAATAGACCCCGTCCCAGCAAAGCAACATTTTAGACAATGGACAAGAAGATGTATCTCCTAGTGGCCAATGGAATCCTTATCCTCTTGGGAGGCGGGATGTACCTCCGGACACCATTACTAAAAAGGTAACCAATTTCAAATTAATGACACAAACCATGAACCTTGCACATGCATTGTAATATGTAATCCTTATCTTGTGTCTTAACATCATTTCTAATTTTGTAATAAATTTAGGCTAAATATTATCCCACTATAGGGAGTTCAGTTAACTGTAAGTGCATTGAAAAGGATGAGAAATGAACACTACCAAATGATAACAAGTGGTAACAAATTTTTGTAAGCAACATCCTGCCACCTCTCTGCAGATACTGTCACCTCTTTCTGGTGCCCCACCTTTGAAGTGTAAGCACAGGATTGTGGGTAATGCATACTTCTGATCCTCTTTAGTTTAGCAGTCTGGTGCAGTCAACTTGTGTAAAATGCAATTTGACTAAAAAAAGTTCGATTTACCATTTTTAAAAGTCATAGCAGTTCACTCATCTAATCATTCATTCAATAAATACTGAGCAACTGTATGTGTTCAGCTATGTGTTGAGCACTTGCTAGATACTGGGAAACAAAAATGAGTAAGATGGTGTCTTACCTTGAAGACCTTTAGTCTAGTAAGGTAGCCTAAGTGATAGGTAGGTAATTATAATATCACATATTAAATCACCATGAAGGGAAGAAAAGAAGCCACAACCTTGGGAAGATAATTGTAGCATATATGAGGACAAGGGATTAGTATCCCAGAATATATTTTTTAAAACTCATATAGTCAAAAACAAAAGACATACAACACTACAAAAGAATGGTAAAATACAAGGGGAACTAGGAGAGTAAATAAACATTTTTAAGAACTAAATACTTTTGTCAATTAGAAATACAAAAAAAAAGATGCTATTTTATAGCTACTAGTCACAAAAATTAAGAAGTCTGAAAAATTAGGTTGTTTGCAACTATAAGAGCAATGGAAACCTTTTTAATAGTTCTCACAGGAATAAAAAGCACAATCACTTTGGTATCAAATTATCTTATAAAACTGAACATGAATATACCCTACTATCCAAAAATTGCCCTCCCGAGATATTATTCAAGACACTTGTAATATTTATAATAGTAGAAAACTGGAAAAACCCAAATGCCTACCACCAGGAAAGTATGTAAATAAACTCTGCTATTCACACAGAAAAGTACTTTAAAGCAATGAAAATCAGTTAATCATAATTATGATAATGTGTATAAACTTTAGAAACATAATTTGAGCAAAAAACAAGTTTCAGAAGATGGAACACATCAAAACTATCATATTTATAAATCTCAAAAACAAGCAAAACTAAAAATATATTGTTTAGGCATAAGTACATGAGTCAGAAAACTATTTTTATAAGGGAATGGTTAACAAAATTTATGATTATGGTTATCTCTGAAGGGAAGGTTGGAGGTAGGATTAGGGAGGAAATTTGTATTATTCTTGCTGCTGTTTTATTTCTTAAATTGAATTGTGGCTCTTACACTTAGTTCTTAAGTACATGAGTATTTATTTTATAATTATGTTTCATAACTTGCATATATAATCACATACTTTCTTTGTAACCTAAGTGATGATTTTCCTCTTGATGACTCCTTCAATGTTTTTTAAAATATACATATATATTACCTATCACATTATTTTACCTAAAATGTTTGTTAATGACCTGATTTGCATGTATTATACATTATTAATCTGCCCATTGGGCAATATTAAGCATAGAAGATAAACACAATGTAGTGTGATTAGTGCTATGAAGTTGGGATCTAGGGCTATGAAAGAATCTGGAAAGGGCACCTGTTCCATAAAGAAACTAAAGGAAGTTGAGAGGAGTGATGTGAAATAAGGCTGGAGGGTAAATAGAAGTTTGATCATGCTGCATTTTATTCTGAAGGAAATAAGAAGAAGAACAGTGAAGTGTTTTAAACAGGGGAAAGCCAAGATTAAATTTTCATTTAAATAACACTTTGATAGCTTTACAGAGAATGAATTGTAGAGGAGAAAGACTGAAGGCGATGGAACCAGTTAGGAAAGTTCTTTTCTAATACAGGGGAGAGTAAATGGAAGCAATGGGTGGTGGCAAGAAATGCATAGATTCAATATCTTCTTCAAAGGTGAGCCAACATGATGTTGTGATTGACTGGACATAGGATATAAGAGATAGATATAAGTTCCATGATTGATACACAGGTTTCTAATTTGGACAAGGGATTGATATTGTGCCATGCACTGAGATTGGAAGTACAAAAAGAGTGATAGGTAGAAGTGGAGGAGGGGAGGTTAACTTAAGTTTTAATGTGTTGATTTGAGGTATATGTAGAGTATCTGAGAGATGATGTTTACTGCTTATTTGGATATATTTATCTAAAGTTCAGAAGGGAAATCTTAGCTGAAGATACAAACTTAGTAATCATCAAATACATGTCATAATTAGCTGTGAGTGAGACAGATAGCTGTGAGTGAGACAGAACTCCATGGAACACCAACATTTAAGGGATGTTCTTAGGAGGAACAGGAAAGGAATAACTAAAGATTTTATCAATAGGGTCCTTTCTGACACAAGTTATAGGAAATTCAAGGGAAATAGCCTTGAATGTTAAATACTTAGCTGATTATCAATATCTAGAATAAGCCTCAGATCTAGTCTTCAGTTTTATAATCTAAATACTTAAGGCTTTTTTCCCTCTCCACTCATATCCATACTGTTGGTTTTATCCTAAAATTGGTTTCTCTCATTATTTTAAGTTGGCTACCAATGACAATTGGAGATACAAGCTTCCGTTTTCAAATCCATCAAGGGAGAGAACCAAATTCCCAATAGCTGTCTCTTACAAGTGGAACATTTCAACCCTAAATCTCTCAACAAACCTCTTCTTATATCTCACTGATCCAAAACAGCTAAGGACTTCCTATCCCTAGCAAGTCTATGGAATTATATGATTGGCTTGGACTAATCAGTTGGAGTAGAATAGATAGGGCTCTCAACTCCAGTGACCACTAAAAAACTAGAAGGAAATGTTTTAAGGAAGGAGTGGTCAGCAGTTCACATGATGTGAAAAAATCAAGCAAGGTAAGTATGACTAAAGGCTCTTTGGATTTAGAAACAGAGAGGTCATTGTGGCCTTGGCAAAAGGAGTTTACTTAACTGATGGAGTGGAATCCATTGGAACTTACATTAAGGAGCAGATAAACATAGAAACCTAGAAAATTCAAGAAAGGAGCTTCCACTTGAAAGGAATGAGACAATTATAGTAGAACTAAAAAAGGATGTAAGGAAGCCAGAAAGAATATTTAAGATGACAGACTCCTGATCATATTTGAAGGCCGATGAGAAGCTATTGATGAAGAGGAAGTTGAAAATCTCAGAGAAGAAAGGAGGGGAATCTGCTTATTTATGAGGAAAGATAATAGGATGAATGTGACGGCAGAAAGTTGAAGGGATACCTATCAGAGTCGAGGGGAGGTTGCCTGACCAAAGGCGGGAACTATATCCACTTGTATAGTTGCAAATTTCTAGTATAATATTCCCATAAAAGAAAAAGATTCATTCACTTATTACTCTAAATGGAATTAACAGATGTTTACATTATCCTCCATATATCCATTTTACCTGAAATCTATCTTCAAACTCCCTAATATTATGTTTAATCATTATCATCAATACAAATCATAATGATCATTTGTTTGCTTCTCTACTTACTTTAAGAATCCCGTGCAATCCTATATTGATTAAACATTTGTGAGGTTGTTCAATTATTGAATTATTGTTGTTCAATTATTTGAAGACCAAATAATTGCTTAATCTATCTGAAAACTTCATAACTTTTATATGTCTTGTCAGATGTGAAATATGTAGCATGTCTTTCATATATAAACTCATTTGTATCTTCTTCTTACTATCACGATGTGCATTTTCAGACTACCTCCACATTATAGCTCTTTGGCCTAAAATATGAGATTGTAGAACATACAGATGTGTCTACCTATTATCATACAGAGTAGAAAATATAAAGAATGCTCTAAATTTTCAAATTTAGTTTTTTATTATATAATAATTGAATATAGTAAGTTAATTATTCAGTGAAAATCAACCTTAAAAAATGAAAATGGTAATGGAATTATTAGTCTGGGCTGCAGAATTTACTGAAATAGCTATGAAAATTATACTCTTATTTATTGGGTTTATATTTCATTTTATAATGAATGTTTTTAAAAATCAATATTTTGCAGTTGAAGTGAGTAGTCATTAAGCTAGACAGAGTGAGAATGGAAAATTAAAAATTGAACTACAAATAGAATGGGGAATCAAAAGAGAATAAGTAGTGAAGTATTAGACAACTCTATTAGAGTGTATTTCTTAAAGTCTCTGTATTAGACTTTTTTTCATGTTATTGCCATGCTATGCCTAGAGATACACCTCTGTTACTACTGTGATACTCCAACTGTGTGACATTAGTGCTGTGATACTGCTGTGCTCAGAAACCACTGTGATGCTTCAGAGATTCGGTGGGAAACACAGTTTTAGAAAGATTTTGATTGAACTGTTGGCTCTCTGTTCTGGTTATCATAGCTCTTTTGTTGATCTAATATTGGTAGTACTCATGGATATGCCTATAAGCACTCCAGGCACTAAAGGAGCACAAATTTGGGTACCCTCCAACACATAACATTTTTTAGACACATCAAATAATTAGACAAAGATCATCAATCAGAAAAATTTTGTTCTTTATTGGCTGTTTCTGTCCTGAGTACCCGAGCGTGGCTAATGTTGAGTGTGTTAAATCCTGACTTGGTTTTTTGGTTTATTCATTTTCTTTTTTTCTGAGTGGCAAGAGGTGGGATTTAATTGACTTATTTTTTTGATGATGTAATAGTAGGTGGTAGTTTTCAATTCTCTCTTGCCCTGTCAGTGTCCAAAATCTCAAATTCTAAATGTCCATTAATTCAGAAAGTCTGGGAGTCCTTACTAGAAGAACATGTCACAGCTATGTAAATCTCCCTCTGAATTCCAAGTCGTACTACTCAAGCACTTTAAGAATTGTTATTAAAAACTCT